AGGATCCTGGCGGGCCACAGTTCATGGGGTTGCAAAGAGTTGGACATAACTGAACAACTAACACTTAGGTTTTAGAGTATCTGTCTTTAACTTACTACATGTATTAGTTTCTTATAGCTTCTGTTCCAAATTATTACTTGGTGGAAAATAATCTCTCATGAAATGTGAAATATTTAACTGGGCTAAAGTCATTGTGTTGGCAGGATTACACTACCTCTAGAATCTCTAGAAGGGAATTTGCCTCTTTCCTCTTCCAGTTCCTGGTAACTGGTGACAATCCTTGACTTATGAACACATCGCTCCAATCTTTGCCTCACTGGTAACATTGCATTCTTTTTTTCTACATCAGATCTCCCTCTGCCTTTTATTTTCCCCTTGGCCATGCCTGGCATCATGTGGGAATCTTAGTTCCCTGAACGGGGATGGAACCCGCTGTGCCCCTTGCAGTGGAAGAATAGAGTCTTAACCACGGACCACTAGGGACGTCCTCCTTTGCCTCTTTCTCACTTGCTGACACCCAGATTATCCCAGATAATCTCCTCATGTACATGTACAGTGATCATGTACGGATGTGAGAGTTGGATCATAAAGAAGGCTGAGTGCCAAAGAACTGATGCTTTTGAATTGTGATGCTGGAGAAGACTCTTATTCCTTGGACACCAAGGAGATCAAATCAGCCAATCCTAAAGGAAATCACCCTGAGTATCATTGGAAGGACTGATGCTGAAGCTCCAATACTTTGGCCACCTGATGGGAAGCGCCGACTCATTGGAGAAGACTCTTCATGCTGGGAAAGATTGAGGGCAAGAGGAGCAGGGGGGTGACAGAGGATGAGATGGTTGGATGGCATCATAGACTCAATGGACGTGAGTTTGAGCAAATTCTGGGAGATAGACACCACTCTCCTCCATCCGGGCAACTTTTGATTGCATACTTGACTGATTTTTACCTTGTTGGGTACTGGATGTTTTAATATGCCTGTAAATATTCTTGAGCTCTTAGTCAAATTATTGAAAATATTTCACTCAGGTATTACTTTGAAGATTCATTTTTGCCAGGTCGAGGGAACTGTTTAGTGTAAGACTAGTTTTGACCACCTCCTGAGGCAAAGTTCTTGTGAGTACTTCCTGAGTACCCATAAATTATACGCTTCTCAGGCTTCGCTAGTGGTAAAGAACCCGCCTACCAATGCACGAGATAGAAGAGACGTGGGTTCAATTCCTGGGTGAGGAAAATCCCCTGGAGGAGGGCATGGCAACCCACTCCAGTAGTCTTGCCTGGAGAATCCCCATGGATAGAGAAGCCTGGCTGGCTACAGTCCGTGAGGGGTCACAAAGAGTCGGACATGACTGAAGTGACTTGGCAGGCAAATCAATCATTTCGCAACAAAACATAGTGCTCTAAAATAGATAAAAGCGTGGCAACTGACTCCGCAACACCTCCCAGTGAAAACTTTAGCTGGTGCCAGAGGAGGGTCTGGGACTCAGGTTTTGCCAGTTAAGCCCACGCTGCCAAAGTACCACATAGGATGGTGTTTTAGCTCTCCAGGCCGAAAGCCTAGAAGCACCTGCGCACGGGAATCACCTGGAAGGAATCAGCTAGGAGAGCGGGCGGGGCGTCGAGTAGGGGGCGCGGACGCCCTCGCCTCTCCTCCTCCCTCAGGTGATTCCCGGCTCTCGCCGCCGGAGCTGCTACTGGGGCAACAGCGTCGTGACGTAGCGTCAACGGCCGTCGGGCGACGGCTGGCGTTCGGCGCTGGTAGCTGCTGCCGCGGGTCGTGGGAGCCCGCCCTTTCCTTTCAGCACAAATGTCCGTTTGTAAAACAGCAGGGCTGGCGTCTGCAGGATTTGCGGGCTTCAGTCCTGCAGGAAGTGCGGGAGGCTCAGAATTTCCAACGTGTTCACCTTAGAGCCAGCCAGGGCAGCGCCAGCCCACCCAGTAACCTGAGTGCCCGCAGCGTCAGCAGCTACACCGAGGGGTGAGCTACCTCCCTCGTCCTCTCCAAGCGTTTCCACTAGTTTCTCTGGCAGAAGCATCCTTGTTTTTCTTTCCGTTTTCTTATCTTGATGCAGACTTTAAGGCCAGTCGTCCATGGGCTGTACCCACATCCCGCCTCCCCTCGCTCCCCCTTTTCTATAATGTCTCTTTAAAGTATCAAGGGAATCCTTGAAGGAACACCGTACATTTGTCCTCGTGGTGAAAAGTGACTGGTGGTGGTGGTTGCTCAGTCTTACTCTGTGTGACCCCGTGGGCTGTAGCCCGCCAGGCTCCTCTTGTCCATGGGATTCTCCAGGCAAGAATGCTGGAGTGGGTTTCTTTGTCCTCCTCTAGGGGATCTTCCAGACCCAGGGATCAGACCCGCATCTCCTTCATTGGCAGTTGGTTTCTTTACCACTGAACCAGCGTGACTGGTAGCCTTGGGTAAATTTCTGGTGAGACAGAATCAACCTCCTGGCACTGTTCAGTTCAGTTCAGTCGCTCAGTCGTGTCCGACTCTTTGTGACCCCATGAATCGCAGCACGCCAGGCCTCCCTGTCCACCACCAACTCCCGGAGTTTACTCAAACTCATGTCCAGCAAGTCGATGATGCCATCCAACCATCTCATCCTCTGTCGTCTCCTCCTGCCCCCAATCCTTCCTAGCATTAGGGTCTTTTCCAATGAGTCAGCTCTTCGCATGAGGTAGCCAAAGTATTGGAGTTTAGGAGGGTTAAATGGAACAGAAGTGTAAAATTCTTAAGTATTTTCTTGTAAGTATTCACCATATGTAACTTTTAAAAAATTATGGTGAGCTTGATGGAGTGGTTAGGTTCATTACTAGCACCTGCTGAATTCCCCATCCTTTTCTGTTGGTTTCTTAAAGTAGCCCATTATCTCTGCATTCCCATCTTCTATCTTAGGTAAACTTACTCTGTTCCCTCTAAAGTGTGTTGGCCCATTGTGCCTTAAAACTTTTCTTTTTGTTTACGCAAGGACTTCTTCACAGCAGTTCCCTCTCAGTCATACTTTTTTCTTTCTATTGAATCATTTCAGTCAGCAAATTACTTTCTAGGACTGTGGTACCAAAGTGCCACAAATAAGGTGACTTAAAACAATTTATTAAAATTATTTTAAAATTTATTTGGTTGCGCGGGGTCTTAGTTGTGGCAAGTGGAATCTTTAGTTGCTTCAGGGAGAATCTTTCATTTCATCATGCAAACTCTGAGTTTCAGCTTGTGAGATCTAGTTCTCTGACCAGGGATTGGGGAGCACAGAGTCTTCACTGCTTGGGCCACCTGGGAAGTCCCTGAAACAATTTATTGTGAGAGAAATTTATTCTTTCACCACTCTGGAGCCTGAGTCTGAAATCAAGATGTTGGCAGGGCTATGCTCCGCTTAAAAGTTCTAGGAAAGAATCCTCTCGCTTCTTCCCAGCTTTTGGTAGATGATGGCAATCCTTAATATTCCGTGGCTTGCGGCTGCACTCCTCCAATCTCTGCCCTTGTCATTTCATGGCTTTCTTCCTTGTATGTCTATGTGTAAGTGTCTTCACATTCCTTTCTTACAGTGAAAGTGAAGTCGCTCAGTTGTGTTGACTCTTTGCAACCCCGTAGACTGTAGCCTACCAGGCTCCTCCATCCATGAAGTATTCTCCAGGCAAGAATACTGGAGTGGATTGCCATTTCCTTCTCCAGGGGATCTTCCCAACCCAGGGATTGAACCCGGATCTCCTGCATTGCAGGCAGATGAAAGTCAATGGGTTTAGGGCCCACCCTAATCCAATATGATTTAATTTTAACTCGATCATATCTACAAAGACTTTTCAAATATGATCATATTCCCAGGTATCAAGGGTTAGGACTTGAACATGTGTTTTTAGAGGACATACTTAAGATCACAACTCTGGGACTAATCTAGGTGTGGAGTGCTTCAGACAACAGGGAACCAATGCTATTTCATCTTAATTATGCCAGTCTATCAGACAACTCCCAGGGTCAAGCACATGCTTTTAAATGTTGGGGAGGAGGCATTGTCCTGAATGTTAATCACCTTTGGACAGAGAAAAGTAGGCAGATGAAAATTTAAGGCCTGCCTTGTCTTGCTTCCTTACTTATTCCAGCATGACTTTGGTGCTGTCCTGATATTGCTCTGCTGAAAGGCTATTACTTTCTGTGGAAATAATAATATGCATAAAAGGCATGTGTTAGCTTAAGAATGGGAAAAAGGTAAAAATAAAATTTTTAAGTTTTCTAAATACATTCTTTCACTGTTGCCACTGTCTTCTTCCTGCCTTTCAGCACCTGTCCTAAATGCCCACTCATAAATCACACGTCTAGGGGTTTTTCACAGAGTTTTTAGTTGCTGCTGTTAGGAATGTTTCCCTCTCCATTTTGTAGTTTCTCCAGAGTTGATTTTAGGATTCACCATCTTCATGTCAGTTGATAATCCTGCTACCCTTTTTGTTTCTTTAAAAATTTTTTTGTTTTGTATTGAAGTATAATTAATTTATAATGTGTTAGTTTCAGAAAGTTAGCACTTAGCAAATTGATTGAGTTAGTGTGTACATATATATCTATTATTTTTCAAGTTCTTTTCCCATTTAGGTTATTACAGAGTATTGAGTAGAGGTCCCTGTGCTATACATTAGGTCCTTGTTATTTATTTTAAATATAGTAGTGTATACATGCCAATCCTAAGCTCCAGATTTATCTGTTCCCCCCACCTTTACCTTTTGGTAACCATAAGTTTGTTTTCTGGTGATTTTGCTTCTGTCTTGTAAATAAGTTCATTTGTATGTTGTTTTATTTTTTTTAAAGATTCTGCAGATACGTGATATCATATGGTACTTGTCTGTCTGACTTACTTCAGTTAGTATGATAATCACCATGTCCATTCATGTTGCAAATGATGTTATTTCATTCTTTTATCTGCCATTATTTTTAATCTGAAATCTTAATGTTTTATTCACAGGGAAGAATACAAATTTTTCATCCATAATTCAGAAGCTAAGTAAATAACAAAATGAAGCCAGTAAAGCATCTGTTGACCTCTAGTAGTAAATTGGTAAACGTTCCAGAATTAACATTTAAAAAAGGACTATTTAATTCACCATTGTCACCTAAACCAAAGGAAAAACATAGTGCAAAATTAGCACGTGAGAAACTTGAACCGATGGTCTTAAGATCTCCACCAACAGGAGAATCCATTGTAAAGTATGCTTTGCCCATCCCATCAAGTAAGACAAAGGAGTTAATAGCAGAAGATGAATTGATCAGGAAAATTACCAAACATCTGAAGATGGTAAGATACTTGTTGATGCTTGATCCCCATAACCATTTCCAGGTTTAGTGATTTCCTGAGAAGACTCACTGGACTCAGCATATGGTCATATTGATAACTAAGATATAGTGAAAGAAAAGCAAAATCAGCAAAAGGAAAAGGCACATGGGATGAAGTCTGGAGGAAACCAGGTCCAGGCTTCCTAGATTTCTTTACCTTTGGAGTCACACAGGACATGCTTAATTCCCCCAACAGCAAATTGTGGCAACACATGTGAAATGTATACCCGAAGAGTTGATTAGAGACTCAGTGCCCAGGGTTTCACTGGAGGTTGGTCACCTTGGTACTCTCTGCCTTTTTGTTGTTAACTAGCTCAGTTGTATCAGATTCTTTGTGAGTCCATAGACTGCTGCACACCAGACTCCCTTGTCCTTCACTGTTTCCCAAAGTTTACTCAAACTCATGTCCATTGAATCAATATGTCATCCAACCATCTCATCTTCTGTCGCCCCCTTCTCCTCCTTCCCTCAATCTTTCCTAGCATGAAGAGTCTTTGCCAGTGAGTTGGCGCTTCCCATCACGTGGCCAAAGTTTGGAGCTTCCGCATATGTCCTTCCAATGATTATTCAGGGTTGAGTTCCTTTAGGATTGACTGGTTTGAACTCCTTGTTGTCCAAGGGACTCTCAAGAATCTTCTCCAGCACCATGATTAGAAGGCATCAATTCTTCAGTGCTCAGCCTTCTTTATGGTCCAACTCTTAAATCTGTACCTGACTACTGGAAAAGGCAGAGTTTTGACTCTACAGACCTTTGTGGGCAAAGTGATGTGTCTGCTTTTTAATACACTGTCTAGGTTTGTCGTAGACAAAGAGCAAGCATCTTTTAATTTCATGACTGCATGTACCAAAATTCTATACTCCCTGAAGGAAAGCAGGTGTTCAGCATAAATCATCCAGTTTGTACAGTGAATTTAGGGACAGTGAGCCATTATCATCAGTCAGTAAACAGTGGGAACCCTCCTGAAATACAGGTTCTGAGACATAAGCAGGTCTTTCTAAGAATAGGTCTTTCTAAGTTTCATGCTTGCTCTGTTAGCTCTTCTCTGCACTTTAGAAACTCTAGCTCTCAGTGATGGGGAGGGAGGTTGGTGGTAATCTCCCTTTCTCTGAGTTTCTTTTTTGCACATTGATCCAGAATTGAGTTGTACATGTACCCAATACCAAGTGAGAACAGTGAGGGATAGCACAAATATGCAAAAAGTATAGATCATCAAACTTGCAAAGTACAAGTGTGCTCAAAGTTCAAAGGGTTAGCTCAGAGAATTTCCTTTAAAAACGTATTGCCTTGTGGTCTCCATCTCTCTATTTTCCCTACTCCAAGGAAGAAAGGAAAGTCAAGTCAGATTTTGAGGAATACATTGGTGGTAAGTAAAGTTGATGCTTCAGCTGTTCATAGACTCCCTTCAGTGCAGAAATGGAAGAGTCACAGGGCCTGTCTTCATTGAGAGGAATCAAGGACTATGGCTTGTACTGCTTCTTCAGGATGATATGAGGTGAAAAATTTAAGTGTATGGCACTGGCAGAAATAAGTCTTACTGCTAAAATGATTCTGACATGGTTGATTAAGTACATTTTTATGTTTAATGTATTAATAAATAAAATTTTTACACCTTAAGTACATAATTTGCTTTGATTTTTCTCATAGGTGGTTTCTACTTTGGAAGAAGCCTTTGCATATGGCACTCAAAATGGAGAAAAAGCAGTTGTGAAGCCTGAACTTGAAGGATTAGCCTTTTCTGTAAGTGTTTGTAATGCTAATGTAGAGACATTAATGCTGTAAAGGACTGAGATTTTCTTTTAGAATCTGTGTATGTTCTCAGAATGAATTCACCATCCAGGAAAATGATCGTCTTCGGAAACCTGAAAGTACTGTACTGATTTTTTCCATCCTCTGCCAAATACTTATCTTAAAGTTTAATTAAAGCATATCTGTATCTTGAGCTTACTTTTGATGCTAATGTATCTCCTGCTTAATATTTAAGCTTTGGTTGGAGTTGATTTGCAAATGTATAGACTTTATTGGGTTAAGAAATTGTTTTTCAGTTTTTTGGTTTGCTAAATAAAAGAATCCCGAATATTGAAAAGGTTATTGAATTTTATCAAATATCTTTGTTGTATATATTGAAGTGATGTAACTATTAAGGTGATTCCATTTTATAATTAATTTTGTTAGTTATGGATTGGGCTTGGCTTCATGTAATAAAACAACTATGTTGGATCTTTCAAACCCAACCACTGTGTTGGGTCTTTCAAACACAGTATGTTTCTTGGTTTATTTGATTTCTTGTTTAATTTATTTTTTCAGCATTCTGTATTTTCATCATACAGTTCTGGTATATTTTTCTTGAAAACTACACATTAATATCATGCTACTTGGAATGATTTTTAATGGCATTGTGTTTTTAATTTTTTCCTTGTTTGTTATTAGTGTATATAAATATGATTGATTTTCGTGTGCTGATCTTATATCTTGCAAACTTGCTCAATGTACTTTTTTTCATTCTAGGATTTTTCTATAGATACTTTGGGGTTTTGTACATAAGCAATTATGTCTTCTTCAGATAAGGACAATTTTACTTCTTCTTGTCCAATCTGAATGTTTTTATTTCCTCCTTTCTCTCTTTTTGGCCATGCTATATGGCATGCAGGCTCTTAGTTCCCCCACCAGGGATCGAACCCCACATCCCTTTTATTGCAAGGCAGATTCTTAACCACCAGGAAAGCCCCTATTCCCACTTTCTAAAGAGTTTTTATCATAAGTAGATGTTGAATTTTATCAGAAACGTTTTCTGCATCTGTTGAGATTATCATATGGTTTTTATTCTTCAATTTGTTAATATGGTGTATCACATTGATTGCAGATATTGAAAAACCCTTGCATCCCTGGGATAAATCCCACTTGATCTTATTTTATGGTCCTTGTATTGTTGGAGTAGGTTTGCTAGTATTTTGAAGATTTTTTTTTTTTATCTATGTTTATCAGTGATACTGTCCTATAATTTTCTTTTTCATGGTGTGTCTCCTTTTTGTATCAGGGTGATGATGGCATAGTAGCATGAGTTTGGAAGTGTTGTTTCCTCTACAGTTTTTTGGAATATTTTCAGAAGGATAGGTGTTAATTCTTCTCTAAATATTTGGTAGAATTAACCTGTGAAGTCGTCTGATCCTTTTGTTGGGAGTTTTAAAATTGCTCTTTCAATTTCATTTCTGATAATTGTTCATATTTTCTATTTGTTTTTGATTTCTTTGAGGTTGTCCATTTTATTGGCATATAGTTGCTCATGGTAGTCTCATAATCTTTTGTATTTCTATGGTTTGGTTGTAACTTTTGCTTTTTCATTTCTGATTTTATTGATTTGTGTCCTCTCCCTTCTTTTCTTGATGACTCTAGCTAAAAGTTTATCAATTTTGTTTAATTTTTCAAAGAACTAGCTTTTAGTTTCATTGGTCTTTTCTCTTTTTTTTTTCTTTTAGTCTATAATTTATTTCAGCTCTGACTCTTTATGATTTCTTTTATTCTACTAACTTGGGGTTTTATTTGTTCTTTGTAGTTGTTTTAGGCATAAGGTTAGGTTGTTTGAGATCTTTCTCTTTGCCAGAGATAAGCTTGTATTGCTATAAACTTCTCTCTGTAGAACTGCTTTAGCTGCATTCCATAGGTTTTGGGTCATAATGTTCTCATTTTCATTTGTCTCTGGGTATTTTTTTATTTCATCTTTGATTTCCTTTTTTTTCCATTTATTTTTATTAGTTGGAGGCTAATTACTTTACATCATTGCAGTGGTTTTTGTCATACATTGACATGAATCAGCCATAGATATACATGTATTCCCCATCCCGATCCCCCCTCCCACCTCCCTCTCCACCCGATCCCTCTGGGTCTTCTTCAGTGAACCATTGGTTGTTTAGTAGCATGTTGTTTGGCCTCCATGTAGTTGTGTTTTTTGCAGTTTTTTTTTCCTTGTAATTTATTTCTGGCATCATAGTGTCAGACAGTTTGCTTGATACGATTTCAGTTTTCTTATATTTAGTGAGGCTTACTTTGTGGCCCAGCGTGTGTCCTGGATAATTTCCATATATACTTGAAAAAGAATGTGTATCTTGATCAAATTTATCTTCATCTTCTATTTGTGACCTTAATGTAGGTGGGAGGAAATCCCCAAGTATTCAAATGGTCTCATTTTCTATTGGTGAATAGTAATTCTGGTTAATTCATTTTACCACTCTCCTGAATGACTAGTTTCCCCTTCTGTCTCCTATATGACTATAGGTTTTTACCATGATAAAAAAAATATGAACTTGAGTGTGTTTAAAATGTAATGTTGAGGGAACATACTCCTCCTGGAGAACATTCTGTTGAGAATGTTGTAACTGTGTATAAGCATCTGAGATTTTTTAAAAATCTTTGGTCAATTGTCTGATTTACAAATCAGTGCTCTACTAAAACAGATTCAGTCATTGTGACATTTTAATATATAACTTTTTCTTCAAAAATTTCTATTGCTCATTAAAAGAGGATGAAAAACTATACCTCTTGGCAAGTATACTTATAATCAGAAGTCATAGTCAGCATTCGATTTTAACACAAAGCATTATTATAATGCATATTTAAGTGTATATATATTTTTTGCTACCCCTAAATTTTAGGAGTCTGAGGCTGGAATGCCTGATTTTCTGCATCTGTGTAGAGGAAAATGTAAGGAGAGACATAGTTGGGTTTATGTCATTATTGAACCACTTCTCAGAATGTACTTTCTTTGCGGGAGAATTTGCTAGTGTAGTGAACATGGTTTCCTATCTTGATGCATTTCAAGGGACATAACTTACACATACAAAACTATTTTCAAAAATAGTTAAATATACTGAAATATGGATGGATATGCGTATGAATTCCGAAATAAAAATGATTGTGTTTTGCTGCTTTTTTCATAAGGTTGGGGATGATCTGACTTCATTCTTAATATGTTGTTCACAATTTGCAACTCAGTTAGAAGAAGCAGCTAAGGAAGAACATAATGTATGTATTCTGTGTAAACTGCCAAGTGTAAGATATTACTTAATATTTTAATCATAAGTTAAAAACAATATTAATAATAAAACAATATAAACTGATAATTACTAATTAAATTATTAGTTATTAGTAACATTTTAGTAAAAAAATACTTAGTTATATTTGCTGTTTGATCTTAAATATGACAATCCAGTCAGCAATATTAGTCTAGATAGAGTGCCTTTAGTTCAGTTCAGTCACTCAGTCATGTCTGACCCTTTGCAATCCCATGAATCTCAGCACACCAGGCCTCCCTGTCCATCACCAACTCCCAGAGTTTACTCAAACTCATGTCCATCAAGTCGGTGATGCCGTCCAGCCATCTTATCCTCTGCCATCCCCTCCTCTTCTTGCCCCCAATCCCTCCCAGCATCAGGGTCTTTTCCAGTGAGTCAACTCTTCACATGAGGTGGACAAAGTACTGGAGTTTCAGCTTCAACATCAATCCTTCCAATGAATACCCAGGACTGATCTCCTTTAGGATGGACTGGTTGAGTCTCCTTGCAGTCCAAGGGGCTCTCAAGAGTCTTCAAAAGCATCAAGTCTTCAGTTCAAAAGCATCAATTCTTTAGCACTCAGCTTTCTTCACAGTCCAACTCTCACATCCATACAGGACCACTGGAAAAACCACAGCCTTGACCAGATGGACCTTTGTTGGTAAAGTAACGTCTCTGCTTTTTAATATGCTTTCTAGGTTGGTCATAAAGCCTTAAGCTGTTATAAAAGGCATTGGAAAGCATTATTTGTTATCATAGGCATTTATTTCTGTGACTTTTCCTTTATGAACAGCATTGACTGGGTCATTAGTATTTTCATATGTAGTATCTATGTTTTATTGATTTTAAAGTAAGTATGGACTGCCAGGAAAGTCCCAGGCTTATTCTGATTTCTTTCAGTGAAGCAACTTTTCTTCTGCCTGAATGTATGTAATAAAATTTTTCTTTAATAGTGTAATTCAGAAGTTTTACTTGGTTGTGATTGAGTTTGGTTGTTTTTTGTGGCAAAGGTTATCAGTTTAGCATTACATTTTGAAAGTGGTAAATATTGGTATTTTAGACTGTGTGACGGGTTTTGTGTATTCATTTTCTCTCAATCTCCCAAACTAGTTCTTTGCATTTTCCACTAAAAAAAAGCAAGTAGTAGTGTAGTATTTTATGTCTTGATTCTTAGACCTTTTAGTATAGCAAAGTTATATTTAAGAAATAGTGATGATAAGATATGCTTTTCATTGTACTATCTGCTCTAGGGAAAAAATAATGCTTTTCTGAGAGGAATTTAAATTTTATTTCTTACCTATATTAAGAAAATACATGAAATCATGAATGTGAATTGAGTTTTTTAAATATAGATCTATAATGATGGAAAATTCTTTCTTTTCTTAGAACTAAATTGTCTTGGCAAGATATGCTAAAAACCATCTGTAAATATAAAATTGTTGTGATTTGGATTTGTTTGTGATTGGATTATAGATTTGTTTGTGATTGGATTATAGATTTATAGAGGTATTTTAGTAATTAGTGTACTTTGGTGATTAAAAATTTCAAAAAAGAGACTTGAATTAGATATTTTATGTTGTGAGAATTTTATTTTTAAGAGTTTTAATTAAAACTTTATTTTCCAGATTTTGGAATCTCTGTTTAAGGTATGTTCAATATATTGCTTACTATAATTTAATACAGAAATGCATATAAATGAAAGAGTTTTCTAAGTTTTGAAGAAATAAAAAATAAAGCTTGCAAACTTGCTGCTATATATATTTAAAAATTTTATGTTTCAGTTTTATGTGGCATCAGCACCATTCTGAACACTAGGATAAAATGATATTTGATGTAGGGCTAATATTTGATACACAGACACACACATACACATAGACATATAGACTCATTTATTTCACTGCAGAAATTAAGTTGTCAATATTTCTTTTTGTTTTCTTTTTTTAAAAGTGGTTTCAGCGACAGGTCAATCAGATGGAAGAGGTAAGCATAGCATTTCTTATTAATTAAATTAATATTTTGTCTCATTTGAAAACCAGTGTGAAGTATAAATTTAAGAATTTTAATAACCATTGGTTATAATCTTTTGACTTAGAAAGAGGAGGAATAAATAGGTAGAATACAATGTTTTTTAGTGATTTATACACAATATTCTTGCATTGTCTGGCCTGCTCTGAATTTGACTTATTTTTTTTTCCATAATTTACTTAAAATAGTAAATAAGTGACAAGAGGCCTTATCAACTTAAAGATTTCTCCTGTGTAAAAATTAATTCATAGTATGATATATGCTTATTCATAAAATTTTATATTTGTTTTTCTTTGAATTTAATGTTACTTTAGGGATTTTTTAATACTTTCATTTTCACATTTTTGCCACCAGTTTGAAGAATACTGGTCCCTATCCTTATGGGCTTTAAATTCTACTTTGAAAAAGATTTTATATATGTTATTAATACAGCAGAATGATCTCCTGTGTAGCTTTAGGGAGTTAGAGAATTATACTAGTTCTACCTTGGCTGTGTTTATTGTTTAGTCCAATTAAAGTTCTGAGAGAAGATGCCTGTGGGGAATGTGTCATACCAGGGACCTGCCAGAAAGCCATCCGTGGGGGTGGGTGCTGTTAAAACTTGCTATAGGTGAGTACTACTAGTTACCCTGTGTACTGCCCTAGGATTAAGCAGAGAGAGATGACAGAACTTGGAAGAAAAGCTTCTTCCTCCTCTTAAGTTTTCAGGACCCTCTGCTGACAAAGGTTAATATCATGCTGCCTGTCAAGATAGAGATGTTCCACTGCTATAAATAGGGACAATGGTGAGTGGATTTTTGACGACAGGCAGTATATGGATAATTGTAGCTGATTGCTTTGTCACTTTTTAGGTTAGTTTATAATTGGTGTCCTCTTATTTGGGATCTTGCCTTTGTCCATAAGGTATTTATCTCCTGCTTCCCTTCCATTTATTCTTCATTCTACAATCTCAGACTTCCAGTACATTGCCTGGTACTTACTTCGTGCTGTTACCTCTTTAATCCCATTCCAGGTAGCTGTTACTAAGGTGAAGTATCTGTTTTAAGTTCCCAGTGTTAGAATTTCTCTTTGCTATGCCCCCAAAACTATGGCTTAACTACTTTTTTCCCAACTTATCCTCTCATCACAAGGATTAGCATTCTTTTTTAAATATTTTGAGTTGCCTTTAACTGATCCTGCTAAAATTGTTATTTAACGTACTTAAAATCCCTATATATTAAAAAAATAGAAGATTGGATTTGAGTTTTAACATATTAAAACCAACACTTACTGTAGTTCTGTTGCTAGGCACTTGCTCATATATTTGTAAAATTAGTATTTGATTATAGCTATAGATTGATAATATAAAATTTGCTTAGATATGATAAGTGATATGATGAAGTTTTTTTGAGTATGGGAGCAAAATATGTATTTCCCAAGTAACTGGATAATTTTATTATTTTTAGATAAGCAAAGATCAAACTTTTTCAGAAGCAGAATTTCCAAGTCCTGATAAAACAGTCAGTTTAAGCATTGCACAAATAGTAAAGCAGGTACACAAACTTGAAGAACTGAAAAATCGCCTTAAAGAAGGGTCTAAATACAGCTTCAGAGAACTGTTGTCTAAACCCAAGTAAGTAAAATGTTAAAAGCATTGAAAGAATTGAAAACAGTAAGAGTAGGTATATAATTAGTAACACATATAAGATAATGGTTCGGGTATTATACTGTACATAGAGCTTCTAAATCAAATTAGAAGATATAATTAGCTTGCTCCTACTTGAAATTTTTAGTAGTTTGAAATGGTTCTAGGCACCTGTGCCTATTAAAATTCAGTTTAATTAAAAAACCAATTTTTTAGTCATATTAGGCACATTTCAAGTGCTTAGTAGCCACATATAGCTATTGTTCGACAGTTCTGTTGAACGCTGCTGGCTTTAAAATATTTGGTTTATAAACTCTTTTCTCAGTTTGATTTGGTAGCTTCCATAATATATTTAAGGCATAGTGAAATATTTCATTGTTCAAGAACACCATCACTGGTGTTGCATATGAACAGGGATATGTTCCAAAGAATGAATTACTACTTTTTAGTTGAGAAAAATCCTTTTTTTCGGTAGGTGGGAGGAAGATTAAAATGAATGATTACAAGAATATTTCTGTTGTCTGTGGTTTAACTCTCTTGAAATGAAATAGATGAGTAAATCATCATATAATATCTTCATAGGGTATATTCATAGAATATTTTGTACCTCTGTGGTTATTATTTTTCCTTGAGAACACTTCAGATCTACTCTTTCAGCAATTTCAGGTATATGATAGCAGTGGTATTATGAACAGTAAACACCATGTTGTACATTAGATCTTTAGAACTTTTTCAACTTATAACTGAAAGTTTGTACTTTGTGACCAACATTACCCCATCTTCCTAACCCTCTTCAGCCCCTGGCAGCCACCATTTTACTTTCTGTTTCTAAGAATTTGAGTTTTTAGCCTCTACATGTAAGTGAAATAACACATTAATCATCTTTCTCTGACTTACTTCGCTGGGTGTAACATCATCCAGGTTCATCCATATTGTCACAAATGGCAGCATTTCCTTCTATATTTGACATAAAATATTTTTACTCTGCTTTTATTTCCAACCCAAACTATAATTTTCCTTTTTAAAATTTTTTTGGTACTAGAAAAGAGTGTTCATGTGTAATTTATATTCTTTAGGCACACACTGTTTTGTTCTTGGTGGTAGTGCCAAATATGTGAAGAACCAGGATAATATGGGCCCAACTGATTATAATAGATATCCTGTATGTGCTAAGGATTACTCCTTTAGGTGCTGGATCCTGGGAAGGTTGAGGGGCCAGGGCAGTTGGCAGAAACTTGAATGACTCAGGGCAGAGCTGTTTTCCAATTGGGTCAGTGGAATTCCAGTGTTACAGTTACATAATACCACTGTATGAATATCAGACCTTTTCTCCCTTAGTGAGAAGTTAGCTTGAACAAAGTTCCAGTTTTGAGATATTTCACTTAGTATATCTGATTTATAATCTTCAAAAACTTCATAATTTGCCCAATTATTTCCAATTCATTCTGCTAAACTTCCTCAGTACTTTCTATCCCCTTTCATTGTAGCTTAAAACTATTTTTCAAACATACTTTTGTTTACATTATTGGCAAGCAGGCAGCCCTGAAGTAGCAGCACAGTGGTAACTATGAGATTGGCTTATCATACTTCGGAATATTAGGGTAGTACGGAGACAGTGGGCACAAATGGTCTTGAATTACTTAGGCCAGCATCAAGAGCAAGATCAGCACGGTGTCAGCTCCCTGTGTTCCTTGTTCCACAGGAATACACGGAGCAGAAGGGACCAGATGACAGGCTAGAGAAGCAATTTGTTGCTGAAATGAAGGAGCAAAGTCTAAACTAGAGCCGTGCATCTTTATAATGTTTTTATTTTTGATTATTTTTTATTGGAGTATAGTTGATTTGCAGTGCTGTGTTAGTGTCTGCTGTTTGCATCTTTATAGTCTTAATGGAAGCCTTCAGGTGGGCTGTAAGGAAGAGAGGGATAGAAAGCCCGGTGTTCAACTGAAAATAGGGGATAGATGAAAAAGGAGTTTGTGTCAGTCTTCCATGAGACAGAAATGAGAAACTCTTCACCAGGCTTATCTTCTCTCTCTCTCACAGAAATTTTAGGGCATTCTACTAAGATTTGGATCTGGCTGCCGTCAAGTCTTATTTATGTAGATTTTATAGACCTGTGTAATGTTGATAGAGTGCCCTGGTAGAGCTTCTTTATAGCACTGATTCTCACATGGGGGCTGTTTTGTGCCCCAGAAGACACTTGTATGTAGACACTTTGGTTGTCACAACTAGGGAGTGGGAGAATGCTCCTGGCACTTACTAGGTACAGGTCAGAGATGCTGCAGAGAGCATTGCCACATGTGCCTTATGGGACTTGGACAAGAAGATCCTAGACCAGGAGACACATGTGACAAGTCATGGGGGATGCTCAGTTAGAAACTGAAAGTGTTAGTCACTCAGTCGTGTCTGACTCTTTATGACCCCGTGGACCGTAGCCCACCAGGCACCTCTGTCCATGGCATTCTCCCCAAGATTGCTGGAGTGGGTAGCCATTCCCTTCTCCCAGGGGTTTTCCCAACCGAGGGCTTGAACCCAGGTCTCCTGCATTGTAGGAGGATTCTTTACCATCTGAGCCACCAGGGGGACACAACCAAATCCTGTACGAGATGCAGCAGACTGACCTCCCTGTGGTCTGGGAAAGAAGCTGGGGTTTGATGGGGGTCAGAGAGGTGTGAAGCACTGTACAGTGTTGGCCAGGGTCCTGTGGAACCTTCTAGATTCAGGTGTCTGAGCATCAGACCACCAGCTGTCCACTGACATCTAATGCTTGCTCTGAACCTTACAGAAGATTCTTGAATTTTGAGCATCTGGCTCATTGGTTACCTGGTATTCAGAAGGATAATACTCATTTATGTGAGTGAAGTTTTAAAGAAAGATTCTTTTCTTCTCCTTTTTCTGTTTGTCCTCTTTTGTCACCTCTTTTTTCATTCTTCCTTTCCCTCCCTTCTTTCTTTCTTCTTTCCTATTGAAAAATATTGAAATATTTTAGATACATCAAAAAATGTAAAGATCTTTTACTAAATTCAAAAAGTGGTTTAATTTTACTCCTGAACTCAGCATTTATCTCAAGGGGATGTAGAAATGTAATTGTCATGGGCTCCAAAGAAGCTGCGTTATACTATTTTCAGCTGTTTAAAAATAAATCCAAAATTAAAATATACAAATAATATATTTTAAAGTGAAAAAAAAAAAAAAAAAAAAGAACCAGTCATGCTTGTCTACATATTTCCTATCACATGTAATAAACAGTAAAGAAATATAAGTTTTTATGGATACCTGAATTCAACTCATTTGTTCCCCATCCCTAACCATATCTGGTATAGTAACTTATCCTAGTAAAACTTTCCGTTTATCAACAACCATTTTTTTTTACATTAAACATTAACAAAACCCTTTCATTTTACAATGTTAAAATAGAAAATATCCATAATTGGGAGAGGCTACTATTTATTATGCGGTAACTTCATTTATCTCCATCTGTCAATGACTAGACTTAAAGGAATGAAGGGAATGATACTTGTGTTGATTGACTTCAATGGGAACTGCATAACAGAGCCTTGATTCTGAGGTTCAGTTATAAATTCACCTGTGCTATCTATTGTGAAGCATGGGATTAATTTCATATGTTACTATTAGTACTTGAAATTTAAGCATCAGATGTGTGCTAGGTATTTTCCTAGTTTATGTGTGTCTTTTGGTCCTACAACTACTTCATGAAATACGTACACTAATACCCAATTTTGATAGATTAAGAAACTGAGGCTCAGGTTAAATGACTTACCCAAGATCACATAGTTAGTAAATGGATAAAACAGGTTTTGAGCCAAGCTGTCTGACTCTAGAAGTCTGACACTTGTGCTCTTAACAATTGATTACATATTAATAATACACTGTTACAAAGAAATCTCATGCTTATACCAAATATATTTTTACTGGTTTCATTTATGTGGTTGTTGGTATACCTAATTATATTCATGGAATACATCATATACATGGTATGCCTAGTTATATTCATGGAATATGCCCAATTCATGGAATACATTCTGTGAATATATAGAGTTCATAGAATTACATAGTTTGATACTTTTTACTTATTTACTAGGTAATTTACCTTAATGTCTGAATAAAGGTTAAAGAAAACATTAAATTTTATTTTACTAACTGCATATGTCTAAAGCATGTATTCTGGTTCTTAAGTGTAATTTAAATTGTTTGATAATATGTTTTATTTATTTAAATTTTAACAGGGATAGGGAAATGCCACCAGAAGATGTGCAAACTTATGAAACTGTGAAGCAGAAAATTGAAGGTGATAATATTTTGCACAAGTCGAGCCTTTATAGGGTTTCCTAACTACACTAACATTTTGAAATTTAAAGTGTAAAAATTTATAGCCATATAAATTATACAATGATAAATTTAAAGATGTTCAATAGTAGTTGACCTTTTCAGTAAAAGTTTATGTTTCAGATTCTGGGAGTATACAAAAATAATAAAACTTGGTTTTTACCCTCAACATCCACAACATGATGTGGATACAAGTACATTGTGTATTATCTTAGTATAGTGTAATGCATGAAAAAGATATGTGTTATTTGCAGTGATTCCACAGAAAGGAGCCAACTTGTTCAGCCTGAGACTTAAGGTTTTATGCAACCTTAAAGGGCTTCCCTGCTGGCCTCAGTGGTAAAGAATCTGCGTGCCAGTGCAGGAGATGGGGGTTTCATCCCTGGGTCTGCAGCATCCCCTGGAGGAGGAAATGGCAACCCACCCCAGTTTTCCTGCCTGGGAAATGCCATGACAGGGCAGTCTGAAGGGCTACAATCCATGGGGTCGCAGAGCCAAACACAGCGTTGTGGCTAAACAACAACAGATAGGTAAGGTTTTGTCAAGTTGAGAAGGGAGATATTTGGTATTTTCAGAAGAGGGTATAGCATGAGCAACAGCATGAATAGGGAATTACTGCGTGTGCATGCTCATTTGCTTCAGTTGTGTCCAACTCTTTGCGACCCCATGGACCACAGCCCTCCAGGCTCCTCTGTCCAGGGGATTCTCCAGGCAAGAATACTGGAGTGGGTTGCCATGCCCTCCTCCAGAGTATCTTCCTAACCCAAGGATCAAACCCAGGTCTCCTCTGTCTCCTCCATTGGCAGGTGGGTTCTTTATCACTAGCGCCACCTTACTACTGGTTTGGTATTCAAGTATGGAGTAATAGGAAGGGATAAGATAGGAGAAAGCCAATGCCAAGGGATTAAATGCTGTGCTAAGGAACACTTTCTCCCCCCCGCCCCATATTTAATTAGGGAATCATTGAAGACTTTTTTTTATAGGGAAGTGACATGTTGAATTTTAGATTTTTCTGGCCACATTGAGAAGCTAGATTTGGGGGTTGGGAGTAAGAAAGGGAAGTTAACTGCTGTATCTTAAGTGTGTGATAAGTGCCTGTATTAGAAAAAAGGGGCAGATTTGGATATGAAAGGAAGGGAGATTAGATGATGGTAACTGTAACTGGGAGAATATTAGAGGAAAAACAGGTTTTGTTGAGAAAATGGTGAGTTCACATCACTCAGTTGTTAATGAACATTTTTTTAGATGTTACAATTTGTTGCCTGATTTAGAGCGTCTACAATATTGGCAGCTTTGTTGCTTTTCTTAGGCTTTTTGTGTTCTCTTTTTTTAAAAATATTTATTTAAATTTGGTTGTGCTGGGTCTTCATTGCTGTGCAGGATTTTCTCTAGTTGGAGAGAGCTGGGGCTGCTCTCTAGGTGCAGTGCACAGGCTTCTCTCTGTTGCAGAGCGTGCTTGGGCTTCAGTAGCTGTGACTCACAGGCTCCTGAGTTCAGACTCAATAGTTGTGGTGCAGACTCAGTTGCTCTGCTCCATGCAGCATCTTCCCCAACCAGCGATTAAACCTGTGTCTCCTTCACTGGCAGGTGGATTCTTTCCCAGTGAGCCACCAGGGAAGCCCAAGAATTTTCTCTTGAATGAGTTATTAAAAAACTATGAAATCTAAATTCAATTGATATATATGATTGATATTGAAACTTATAACTATTAATTATTTCAGAATTCATAAAAACATACTCAACTGAAGAAATTGCAGATGTTTCTGTGACTGAGCCACGTAAGTTTCTACTCATTGAACATCATTGTATTAATAACCTCTTTATTTATATTAATTTCTATAATTTTCTATAATTCAAAATAATACTTGTTAATTTAAAACATAAATTCCCTGGAGTTTGGAGTCATACAGTTGAGCTGGCTATCAAGTAAATATTGAAATTCCTAGATAGCTACTGCCTACCAGTAGCTAAAAAAAAAAAATACTGTTTTTTTTTTTTTTTAACAGACTCATTTTTAAGGAGTTCCATGTTATTACTTGGAATGGAGGATTTTTAATTATGATTAGACTATGCTACAAAAGTATTGCAGAGGTGGTAAACCTTTGAGGAAGGAGCAGTGATAAATTTAAGAGGTCATTTGTAGACTCTTACTGTGAATTACAGATCATCCCATATATACTTATACTTTGACTGTAGCTGAGTACCTATCAATTCATGAATATAAAGAGCTTCTAGAACTCAAACTTCTGAGTACTTATCAACAGAAAGGAGAAGCTGCTTTTTTTTAATGTCTTAATACTGGGGAGAATTTTCAAACAATCATGTGTGCTGTGGAATACTGTTTTGAAAGTGGAAAATAAGACTTGGTTAGAAAAAGTTGATGATAATCCTGTTCTCTTTCAGCTTCAGCTATAAACTCTAACAGTGTCATGTTTAAATGAAGGCCTGCTATACATTCTATGGTACTCCCAAGATCTGTAGAGACTTCTGATGTGAGGCAGCCCTGACTGACTAGGTTGGATAGAAAGATATCTAGAGCTTTGGAGTAGACAGTAAAAGTCTCTGTCTGCTTTAGGGGGAACCATTTGCATATCTGTGGAACTCTCTCTTCCTCAGTCTGTGCAGCTGTCTTCTGTCTACTACTGCGCCCTGTGAATTCTGGCTGCTTTGGCCTCTCCAGTCTCTAAACCTTGTCTCCGAACTCAAGGAGACGAGTAATTTATCTGGGTTTTCCTTCCTTATGCTGTGGTCTGGGACTTAGGCAGTAAGGTAGGCTCGTCACTGAGCAATTCCGTGTTTTCCTTCTGTGAGGGATTACTGCCTTGTCCCTTCTGTTTTCTGGTGTCTGAATACTATATCATATATTTGTCCAGTTTTTAATAGGTTTAAAGTGAAAGTGTAACTCTGGTCCCTGATGCACCATCATGGACAAAAACAGAGGTCTCTGTGCCCACTTTTAGACCAGTGGAACACATCTTCTAATCATAAAACCATTCTAAAATAATAAAATATACAAGTAGAAATTTTACTCATAATTTTTAAGGAAAAATTTGGCTGCTTTAAAATAACTTTTAAACCACTTTGTTAACCAGAGACACTCTGCTCGGAAAAGGGTCTTAACTATAATAGAACAGCTCAATGAGACTTGGATTCTCTGATCTTTTTTGTTCTGTTTTAAGGTCATTCATAATGAGGTCTTGAGGAAGATCAATTGAATGATTTCCCAAGCTGTTCCATTTAGCAATGGATGTGTAATATTCCCATCTACACATTCTATGCTACTGAGTTGAAATTCCTGAACTAGTAGAATTGTAGATATGGGCCCATTATAGGGGCTGCCATAACAAATTGCCATAGACTGAGTGGATCAAGCAATAGAAAGGTATTTCTCATGGTTTTGGAGGCTGAGAAGTTCAAATCAGTGTTCCATCCTGGTCAGGTTCTGGGGAGAGCTTTCTTCCTGTATTGCAGATGGACATCTTCTTGCTGTGTCCTTAAATAACGGAGAGACCATGAGGAGAGAGCAAGCAAGCTCTCTAGTGTCTCACATGGCTCTATTCTCATGATTTAATTGTCTCTCAAAGACCCCATCTCTAATTATTATTGTATTGGAGATTAGGATTTTAACATGAATTTGGGTGAACACAAATATTCAGTCCATAGCAGGGTCCTTTCTCCCTCTTGAGAACTGTTTTTCAGATTGTGGCATAAATAGTACTTCATTTTTTGTAATCTTTTACTGTATACAGGACATAATTTAAAATTATGTGCTATGCTTTTATTGGATTAATTTTAAAATATTGTTTGTTATACCATATTTCTGTACAAGCATTATTAAATACTCTCTTACCTATAAGAAATTCTGAATTTTATTCTTCTGAAGCTGACTTCTCCCAATATACTCTTTGAATAATCAGGGAGTACTGATCCTCCCAAAGCTAGGTCTCTGGTTTACTTAGCTTCTTGATATACTTGATTTATTTGGTCCCCTTTTTATGTGTTGCATATTTCTGCTGTTTCCTCATTGTTTGGTTCTCACATATAGCAGTGAGTTTTGTCAGCATATACCTATAGCCTCTGCCATTTGTAATACCTTTAAATGTTTTCCTTTTTTATTTTAACAATAGAAACTTCTCCTGTAACTAATCAATTGAATACCATGTTGAAAATATTTGAAAATCAGGCAAATAAATTAGAAAGGTAAGCTTCTAAAATAACTCCTTTTCCTCATTATAAATACAGGTGCATATTTATTTCAGATAAATTGGAAACATAGAAAATAAAACTACTGTTAAACATTTTAATTTTGTTAATTTTTATGATATGTTTAATTTTGAAGCTTAAAATTATAATCATACAGATTGTGAAGCTGTATGACCACAACAGAAAATAGTATGTCAATTCCTCAAAAAATATGATTAGTTTGTTTGGATCATGAAGTGGAGATACAGCAATTTCATTTCTGGGGATGTAACCCCCCCCAAATTGAAATTACAGTCTTGAAGAGATATTTGTACAGCCATGTTCACTGTAGCATCATTCACAATAGCAAAGAGGTGGAGGCAACCCAAGTATCCAGTGATGGATGAATGGATAAAGAAAATGTGTCATCTACATACAGTGGAATATTATTCATCCTTAAAAAGGAAAGAAATTCTAACGTATGGTACAACATGGATGAATCTTGAGGACCTTAATGCTGAGTAATTATAAGCCAGTCATAAAAGACTAAATTGTGTGATTTCACTTATGAGGCATTTTAAGTAGTCAGATTCACCCAGAGAGAGAATAGAATGGTGGTTGCCAGGAGGGATGAGGAATGGGAAGTTCTTTCTCTATGGGTATAGAGTTTCAGTTTTTCAGGATGAAAAGAGCTCTGAGAACTCAGAATAGTCAAAGAAATCTTAAGAAGAACAAAGTTAGAGGTCTCATACTTCAGTGATTTTAGCTCTGTATACACCTATAGTACTCAAGACAATGTAATACTGGTGTGAGGATAAACCTATATAGATCAGTGGACTAGAATGAATGGAAATAATCCCCAGAAATAAATCATTACATTTATGGTTAACTGATTATCAAAATAGAGGTCAAGACCATTCAGTAAGGAAAGAATAATTTTTTTTAATAACTGTGCTTAGAGAACTGAATATCCATATGCAAAAGAATGAAGTTAGATCCTTTTCTTTGTGCCATACACAGAAATTAATTCAAAATTACCAGATGTAAATTTCAGAGCTAAAACTAAACCTTTTAAATACAGGAGTAAATATTTTTACTTAGAGTTAACCAGTGGTTTCTTAAGATATCAAAAGAACAACCAGCTAAAGAAAAAATAAATGAACTTAAAAACTTGTGCTGCAAATAATACCATTAGGAACATGAGAAGACAATCATAGAATGTGAAAACTGTTCATAAATCATGTATTTGATATGGGACTTACACCCAGAATATACAAAAGCACTCTTAACCTCAATCATAAAAAAGATAAATAATCATATTTGACAATGGGCAAATAATCCAAATAAGTATTTTGTCACACAGTATACACAAAGGGTCAATGAGCACAGGAAAAGATACTGAACATCATTAGTTACTAGGGAATCAAAACTATAGTCATATACCTCTTCATATCCACTAGTACTGTGATGGCTATAATATCAATGAAAACAATGGACAGTAACCAGTATTGGCAAGGATGTAGAGAAACTGGGACCCTCATACATTGCTGGTGAGAAAAAATAGTTTGCCAGTTGCTCAAAATATTAAATATACAGTTGACATATGACTAAGAAATTCTGTTTCTATGTTTATACCTAATAGAAATGAAAATATTTGTCCACACAAAAACTTGGACAAGTATATTCATAGTAGCATTATTCGTAATGGCCCCAAAGTGGAAACAACCCAAATGCCTATAAACTGACAAATGAATCAATAGAGTGATTATATCCATACAATGCAATGTTATTTGCAATAAAAGGAATACGGTACTAATACGTGTTACAAACATTATGCTAGGTATAAGAAAACAGTCTCAAAAGACTATGTATTTTGTAATTCTTGTATGAAATATATAGTGACAGAAAATAGACTTGTGGCTGCCAGGACCGAAATAGTGCTGGGAAAAATGGCCAGTGAGTGCTAATGGCTACCACATTTCTTTCTGAGGTAATTAAAATGTGCTAAAATTAGGTAGTGGTAATAGTCACTGTTGGGCTTTACTGGTGGCTCAGCAGTAAAGAATCCACCTCCAATGTGGGAGACACAGGTTCAATGCCTGGGTCAGGAAGATGTCCTGGAGAAGGAAATGGCAACCAACTCCAGTATTCTTGCCTGGAGAATCCCATAGACAGAGGTGCCTGGTTGGCTACAGTCCATGGGGTCGGAAAAGACACAACTTGAGTAACTAAACAACAACATTTGTTACTCAGTGAATATATTAAAAGGTATTGAATTGTATACTTTTAAGTGAGTTAATTTTATAGTGTGTTAATCATAATAAAACTTAAAAAAATTCTGATTATAATTAATAAAAAGCTCATTAGTCCAAAAAATAGTTTATCTGTACTATGGAACAGTTGTCAGCAAGCTGCAGTCCATGAGTCAAATCTAGCCGGCAACCTGTTTTTGTTTATAAAGTTTTGTTAGAACACAGCCACATCCACTGCAGAGCTGACTGGTAGTGACAAGACCAACTGGTTTGTAAAGTGTGAAAGACTCACTATCTGGTTCTTTATGGAAAAAGCTTGCCAAAAAAAAAAAAAAAGCTTGCCAAATCTTGATATGGAATCAGAAGTTGTATTTAAAGGGAGTAAGAAGAATCTATATTATATAAATAGATCTCAGAAGTTGTGTTAAGTGAAAAAAATGTTGAGAACAACATATCCAGTGATGTCATTTATGTGAAAAAGAAAACAAAACAAACATCCAGCTCATTAAGAAAAAGTATAGAATAGGAATGTAAAGTATCATATAAATCCATGGAGCAAGTCCTGGAAAAATACACAGCAATCAAAGAGTGTCTCTGGGAAGAACATTGAAATTTTGGAATGCTAGTCAAAGTATACTCTAACCTTATTTATATTAATTTTTTTACATAGAAAATACATGATATTACATAAAAATAAAAATTTAAAATTATAATACATTATAGGTATTTTTGGTTTGTTTTTCAGAGCTATGAATGAGCAACTGATGTTAGAGGCTGTAAGTATAGGACTCTCAGTTTGAATTTGCACTTTGTCCTTGATGTTGCTGATAGATTCTAGAAATTGTCAGGATATGTAATGTTAAATAAAGATCTAATGCTTAGTTTATTCAAGAGAGTTTTATGCATATGACAGCTGGAAATTTTTGTCTATTCTTTTGATTTTAGTAGACTTTATTATCACTCAGAAACACTTAACTTTTGAAATACTGAACTATAACATCCCACAGCCTGAACTTCCATTGTCAATCATAGTACCTTTGCCTCTTTCAGCACCTCTTATAACTTCACTATGCAGATTAATACCAGTGGTTCATGATTTCTATGAGTTAATAAAGACTTTTTTACTTTAATAATTAAGCACCCAAATAACCTCTCCATATTAATATGCTTGCTTTTCATTATTAATGAAGTTATAATATTTGTTTTTAGAAATACACACAGATTCAAAGTAATCTCCACATATTATCAGAGGAGAAATTAATGCTGGAAAATGAACTACAAAAGTTGAAAAGTACAGAGGTTGGTTAATTTTAGTGTCTGAAACTGGCATACATACCAGTACTAATAATTGGTAGCCTGTGCTCAGTTATCTCCGACTCTTTGCAGCCCCATGAACTGTAGCCTTCTAGGCTCCTCTGTCTGGAATTTTCCAAGCAAGAATACTGGATCCGGTTGCCATTCCCTACTCGAGGGGCTCTTCTCGACCCAGGGGATTCAACCTGGGTCTCATGTCTCTGCACTGGCAGACAGATTCTTTCTTACTAGTGCCACTTGAGAAGCCCTATTAATTGGCAGCAGCTGTGTTTTGAAAAAAAAGAATGCTGTGTTCTAAATTACCATCAGTCAGTTCAGTCGCTCATTCGTGTCTGACTCTTTGCGACCCAATGGACTGCAGCATGCCAGGCTTCCCTGTCCATCATCAACTCCCAGAGCCTACTCAAACTCATGTCCATTGCGTCGGTGATGCCATCCAACCATCTCATCCTCTGTAGTCCTCTTTTCCTCCTGCCTTCGATCTTTCCCAGCATCAGGGTATTTTCCAATGAGTTCTTCGCATCAGGTGGACAGAGTTTCAGCTTCCGCATCGTCCTTTCAGTAAGCGAGGATTGATCTCCTTTAGGATGGACTGGTTGGATTTCTTTGCAGTCCAAGGGACTCTCAAGAGTCTTCTCCAACACTACAGTTTTCAAAAGCATCGATTCTTTGGTGCTCACCTTTCTTTGTAGTCCAACTCTCACATCCATACATGACTACTGGAAAAACCATACCTTTGAATAGACGGACCTTTGTTGACAAAGTAATGTCTCTGCTTTTTAATATGCTATCTAGGTTAGTCATAGCTTTTCTTCCAAGAAGCAAGCGTCTTTTAATTTCATGGCTGCAGTCACCATCTGCAGTGATTTTGGGGCCCCAAAACACTGTTTCCGTTGTTTCTCCATCGGTTTGCCATGAAGTGATGGGACCGGATGCCATGATCTTAGTTTTCTGAATGTTGAGTTTTAAGCCAACTTTTTCATTCTCCTCTTTCACTTTCATCAAGAGACTTTAGTTTTTATTTGCTTTCTGCCATGAGGGTGGTGTCATCTACATATCTGAGGTTATTGGTATTTCTCTTGGCAATCTTGATTCCAGTTTGTGCTTCGTCTAGCCCAGTGTTTCTCATGATGTACTCTGCATATAAGTTAAACAAGCAGGGTGACAATATACAGCCTTGACAGAGGATGAGATGGTTGTATGGCATAATGAACTCATTGGACATGAGTTTGAGTAAGCTCTGGTAGAGGGTGAAGGACAGGGAAGCCTGGCATGCTGCAGTCCATGGGGTCGCAAAGAGACACCACTGAATGACTGAAAAACAGTCTGCTGACTTCTTATTTATTCCTTTCCTGTTATCACCTGGCTTTCTCCTATAGCTTCCTAAATAGGATCTCCTAGATATGTATGTTTTGGTATGATGTTGCTAGAGAGTATCACTACATAAAAAGATCTGTTTCTGCTCTCTGTATTCTTTTCTGTTGGCCTTGTCTATTCCTATACCAATACTTGAGACCTTTAATGATTACATATTAGAGTAAGTCCTGATATTTTGTAGGGCAAGTGAATCCACCTTGTTATTTATGAGAATTTATTTATTTTGGGCCTTTGCACTTTCTTGTAAATTTTAGAATTAACTTGTCAAATTCTACACTTGCACTGAAGTTATACATCACATTTGAGAAATATATAGGCTATCAATATACATCTTTTCATTAACAAATATTAAATGTCTCAATTTTGGAATGTTTCATAATGCTTAAAATGAATATTATGATTTTCTTCTTAAAGGTCTTATTTGTCTTTGTTATGTTAATGTTAGGAGCTTTTATTTCTATGCTAAGTTAGTTGGTATATTAAAATATTTTAAAGCTATTGCTAGGGAAATGTATCAAATTTTTGTGTATTTTGCATCTACAAACCTAGTCACACTATCATAATGGTTAGATTTTTATTTTCTACTTGCATAATTGACATATCTTTATTCAGAAGATATGGGTAAACGATAGCCCAAATTTTCTTTCTTACACTGGCAAAGATCTCTAGAATAATACTGAATGGACATGTTGAAAGTGGGCATTTTTTATTCCTGATTTCAAGGGGAATTCTTTTTATTCTTGTGATCAGCCAGCCTGCCTTTCTCTTTCTCTCTCTGTTTCTCAAAACGATGTATCAGGTTAAAGGATTTTTTCTTTTGTCATATTATTTTTTCATGAATTTCTTTTTATACTCCATAAAATTCCTCCAAACTCTGCCCAATGCCTTATTTCAAAACCACTTCCACAGTTTTAGTTGTGTTACAACAGCACCCTGCTTTCAGGTAGCATTGTCTGTATTACTTTTTAATTTGCTGCTCAGTGGGTTGCTTTATTGATTGCTTTAGAGTTTGCAATCTTGTTTTTAACTTATTGTAGTCTCTATTCATGTGATATTAAATTACTTTATGTATAAGAACCTTAAAACATACTTTCATTTGTCCCTTTCCAGCTTTTGTGCTATTGTTTTTAAACATTTTACTACTGTACAACACATTGTTGTTAGTTTTGTTGTAAAATATTGCCCTTTAAAGAGATTTAATTAACAGGAAAATAGTGTTTATATTTGCCCAAATAATTATCATTTAGTGTATTCTTTATTTGTTTATTTCCTTTATTTCCATCTGATATCATTTTTCTTCTCTTTGAAGGATTCTTTGTCATTTTGTTGTGCAGGGTTGCTGCTCTTTGATTTCTGGACAAAATATTTTGCCTTCAGTTTTGAAAGATATTTTTACTGAATAAAGAATTCTAGGTTGACCTTTCCCCCGCTTTCCAGTGCTTTAAAGATGTTGTTCCTTTCTCTTCAGGCTTGCATTATTTGTTACAAGAAGTCTGTGTTCTCCTTATTGTGTCTGCTTTTCTCCTCTGTCCACTTTTAAGATTTTCTTCTTATTACTGCTTTAAAGTAATTTGATTATATGTGTCTTGGGGGGTAGTTTTCCTTATACTGTTGTAGATTTGCAGATTATAGTTTTCATCAAATTTGAAAAAAATTGGCCATTATTTCTTCAAATATTCTTTTCCCATCTGTTTTCTCCATCATGAACTCCAGTTGTAAGCATATTAATCCATTTGAATTTATCTCATAGCTCACTGATGATATGTTCATTATTTTTTAGTTCTTTTATCCCTTTCATTATTTTAGTGTGTTTTGATTGCCCATATATTAGATTTTTCTAAATAGGAAATACATACCAAAACTCAGATTTAAGCTGGAAAACTATTTGGCAATCTTAACAATTTTCATTAAAAATGTATTATTATACTAACTTTCTGTGTTTTATGGAAATTATCACACTTGGTGTTTAACTTGTGAGAACTTTGCTATGGTGAATTTCATATCTGTTGGAAGTTGTGGTCTGAAATAGGAAATAACCTCTCAGTATCATAATAGGTCTCTGTTATTAAGCTTGTCTAAAATTTTTAGTAATCTAATTTTCAAATTTTTTATACTTTCTTGTATAAAATAACCTGGTACTACATAGTAGTTCAAAAATAATTTAAAACATGTCAGTTCTGCTATAATATTTGTTTTGAAATGCAAACTTGTTCCAACATGACTGAACAGTTTGAGCATAATGTGAATTTTACAATTGCTTACACACAAATTCATCTGCAAATAGTACTAGGTGAAAGTAGAAAATAGCTTCTGCAAGCTTCCTTAGTTTACCAGGTATAGAGTGTACCGCACCAATCCAGGCATTAGAAATTTTTGTTCAATTTCAGATAAGCTTCCTTTCAATACTGCTTAATAGCTCTTAACTTGAAATATGTTTGATGCTCATTTCCACAAAGAAACTTGATTTCTTTTTCAAGATAAAGAGCTATGTTTCTCATAGTATCTTATTTCTTAATCATTTAACCATGTAAAACTGAAGTAATGTTCCTAATAGGTTTTGATTTTTGACATGTATCATTGACAGTGTTTTTGCATAACCTAGACTCTTTCCCCCCATATATCCTGCAGTTTTTATCATATGATTTTTCACAGGGAGGTGATTTTCAAGATGGCATATACAATGTTATAGAAGAACTGACTGTAATTTGTCAGAGGAATTTGTTTGAGATGTATTAGCTTATTTGGTGAATTATATTCTATATAGCACTATAACAAACATTCTGGCTATATCATTAATTTTGTTTCGCTTTTATTTGATAATTTCCCTTGAAACACAGTGTAGTGATTCTCAGAGTAAAATGGAAATCTGAATAATGTATATTATCATGTATTTATTTATGATTTATTTTCTTCCTAACTGTTTATTTCTGGCATATGTAAAACTACACAGAAAACAAAGGCTACAAGTGAGCGAACAAAGAAAATTATGAAAACAGAGAAGAAAAAGGACAAAGGAAAATCTGAAGATTCAGAAGCGTAAGACAAAGATACTTGTTAATATTTTTTACTTATAAATTTATATTTTCATTTTATACAATTTAAAGTCATATAAACATAATTTATTAACAGGTTTCTAAAAACACAACATTAGCAAATGTATAGTTTTATAAGCAGACCAGGATATGGGTGGGAGAAAGCTGAGAAGGGAAGAACAAAGAACTAAAAATGGGTTAGAGAGAATTACAAGATATTCAGATATAGGTAGACAAAATTAAACCCAAATAATTTTAGAGATGAATCGGATTTACAATATTTCATTGATATATTAGCTCATGATTTGTGATTTGTATGTTAACCCCTCTCCCCAGTCTGGGCTGTTCCTATTTACTGCACTTCTTACTTGTCTTATTTTATGAAGAAAAGTATCTGATTTTAATGTAGGTTATTTTAAAGTGGCCTTATTAAGAGAATATTTTCCTTATTAATATAAAATAATTTATGCCACTGGAATTTTCTTGATCAAACCCTAACATAAATATATAGTTTAAAAAGGAAACTATCAATTCAATCTTTATAGAATTCCACAAAGTCTAAAAAGAAACTTACCAGACTAATGGCCTTTTCTTAAGAGAGGAAAAGAAAATCAGAGAAGAAATAATGACCAGTGTACTTTGAAAATCCTTTTCCCATCTCAGCTTAGCATATTTTAATCATACCAATGAGATGTTAGTTGACAAATGTTATTCAGTTATTTAATATTTAAGCTTTATGAATTTTATGACTTTTAAAAGTATGAATTTCTTTTCTTAAATTGAAGTATAGTTGATAAAAATATGCATTCCTTATGAAATTTTCTTTCTTTTTTATGAAGTATCAGTTCAGTTCAGTTGCTCAGTCGTGTCTGACTCTTTGCTACCCCATGAACCGCAGCACGCCAGGCCTCCCTGTCCATCACCAACTCCCGGAGTTCAACCAAACCCTTGTCCATCGAGTCGATGATGCCATCCAACCATCTCATCCTCTGTTGTCCCCTTCTCCTCCTGCCCTCAGTCTTTCCCAGCATCAGGGTCTTTTCCAGTGAGTCAGCTCTTTGCATCAGGTGGCCAAAGTATTGGAGTTTCAGCTTCAACATCAGTCCTTCCAATGAACACCCAGGACTGATCTCCTTTAGGATGGACTGGCTGGATCTCCTTGCAGTCCAAGGGACTCTCAAGAGTCTTCTCCAACACCACAGTTCAAAACCATCAATTCTTTGGTGCTCAGCTCTCTTTATAGTCCAACTCTCACATCCATACATGACCACTGGAAAAACCATAGACTTGACTAGATGGACCTTTGTGAACAAAGCAATATCTCTGCTTTTTAATATGCTGTCTAGGTTGGTCATAACTTTCCTTCCAAAGAGTAACTGTCTTTTAATTTCATGGCTGCAATCATCTGCAGTGAGTTTTGAGCCTAGAAAAATAAAGTCAGCCACTGTTTCCACTGTTTCCCCATCTATCTGCCATGAAGTGATGGGACCAGATGCCATGATCTTAGTTTTCTGAATGTTGAGCTGTAAGCCAACTTTTCACTTTCCTCTTTCAAATTCATCAAGAGGCTCTTTAGTTCTTCTTCACTTTCTGCCATAAGGGTGGCGTCATCTGCATATCTGAGGTTATTGATATTTCTCCTGGCAATCTTGATTCCAGCTTGTGCTTCCTCCAGCCCAGTGTTTCTCATGATGTACTCTGCATATAAGTTAAACAAGCAGAGTGACAATATACAGCCTTGGCGTACTCCTTTTCCTATTTGGAACCAGTCTGTTGTTCCATGTCCAGTTCTAACTGTTGCTTCCTGACCTGCATACAGGTTTCTCAAGAGGCAGGTCAGGTGGTCTGGTATGCCCATCTCTTTCAGAATTTTCCGCTGTTTATTGTGATCCACACAGTCAAAGGCTTTGGCATAGTCAATAAAGCAGAAATAGATGTTCTTTTGGAACTCTCTTGCTTTTTCGATGATCCATTGGATGCTGGCAATTTAATCTCTGGTTCCTCTGCCTTTTCTAAAACCAGCTTGAACATCTGGAAGTTCATGGTTCACATATTGCTGAAGCCTGGCTTGGAGAATTTTGAGCATTACTAGTGTGTGAGATGAGTGCAATTGTGTGGTAGTTTGAGCATTCTTTGGGATTGCCTTTCTTTGGGACAGGAATGAAAACTGACCTTTGCCAGTCCTGTGGCCACTGCTGAGTTTTCCATATTTGCTGGCATATTGAGTGCAGCACTTTCACAGCATCATCTTGCAGGATTTGAAATAGCTCAACTGGAATTCATCACCTTCACTAGCTTTGTTCATAGTGATGCTTCCTAAGGCCTACTTCACATGCCAGGATGTCTGGCTTTAGGTGAATGATCACACCATCATGATTATCTGGGTTGTGAAGATCTTTTTTGTACAGTTTTTCTGTATATTCTTGCCACCTCTTCTTAATATCTTCTGCTTCTGTTAGATCCCTATCGTTTCTGTCCTTTATTGAGCACATCTGCATGAAATGTTCCCTTGGTATCTCTAATTTTCTTGAAGAGATCTCTAGTCTTTCCCATTCTATTGTTTTCCTCTATTTCTTTGTGTTGATCTCTGAGGAAGGCTTGCTTATCTCTCCTGGCTATTCTTTGGAACTCTGCATTCAAATAGGAATATCTTTCCTTTTCTCCTTTGTTTTTCGCTTTCCATCTTTTTCAGCTATTTGTAAGGCTTCCTCAGACAGCCATTTTGCTTTTTTGCATTTCTTTTTCTTGGGGATGGTCTTGATTCCTGTCTCCTGTACAATGTCATGAACCTCCATCCATAGTTCATCAGGCACTCTGTCTATCAGATCTTGTCCCTTAAATCTATTTCTCACTTCCGCTGTATAGTCATAAGGGATTTGATTTAGATCATACCTGAATGGTCCAGTGGTTTTCTCCACTTTCTTCAATTTAAGTCTGAATTTGGCAATAAGGAGTTCATGATCCAAGCCACAGTCAGCTCCCAGTCTTGTTTTTGCGGACTGTATAGAGCTTCTCCATCTTTGGCTGCAAAGAATATAATCAGTCTGATTTTGGTGTCAACCATCTGGTGATGTCCATGTGTAGAGCCTTCTTTTGTGTTGTTAGAAGAGGGTGTTTGCTATGACCTGTGCGTTCTCTTGGCAGAACTCTGTTAGCCTTTGCCCTGCTTCATTCTGTACTCCAAGGCCAAATTTGCCTGTTATTCCAGGTGTTTCTTGACTTCCTACTTTTGCATTCCAGTCCCCTATAATGAAAAGGACATCCTTTTTGGGTGTTAGTTCTAGAAGTGTAATTGATACATTAGTTACAGGTATACAGTGTAGTTGGAGAAGGAAATGGCAACCCACTCCAGTACTCTTGCCTGGAGAATCCTTTGGACAGAGGAGCCTGGTGGGCTTCAGTCTATGGGATTGCAAGAGTCGGTCACAACTTAGCTACTAAACTACCACCACCACCATACAGCATAGTAATTTGATATTTTAATGTGTTTCAAAATAATCACACCTGTCTGTCAGACAGTTATTATGATATTAATGACTATATTCCCTATTCTGTACATTATGTCTCCGTGACTTTTACTGATTTTATAACTAGAAGTTTGTACTTGTTAATTTTCCTTACCTATTTTAATTATCCTTCTGTCCTCCTCCCTTCTGGTAACGACCAGTTTGTTCTCTGTATCTATGAGTTTGCTTGTTTTGCTGTGTTTGTTCATTTGTTTTGTTTTTCAAATTCCATGTATAAGTGAAATCATACAGTATTTTTCTTTACCTGAGTTATTTCATTTATCATAATGCCCTCTAGGTCCATCCATTTTGTCACAGATAGCACGATTTCATTCTTTTTTATGGATGAGTTATTTTCTGTCATATATATATGTGTGTGTGTGTATGTATGTATGTATGTATGGTTACACGCACATATATATATATGGGGCTTCCCTGGTGGCTCAGATGGTAAAGAATCTGCCTGCAGTGTGGGAGACCTGGCTTCAGTCCCTGGATTGGGAAGATCCCCTGGACAGCCCACTGCAGTATTCTTGCTTGGAGAATCACCATTGACAGAGGAGCCTGGCAGGCTACAATCCATGGGGTCACAAAGAGTTGGACATGACTGAGTCACTAAGCACATATACATATGTGTGTGTGTATTTGTGTGTATATGTCACACATACATACACTACATCTTTATCCATTCATCTGTTGATGGGTACTTGAGTACTTGCTTTCATTACTTGGCAATTGTAATTAATGCTACAGTAAACGTGGGGCATTTTGTGGAGAGTATTTTTGTTTTCTTTGGAAAAATACTTGAAGTAGACTTGCTGGATCATGTGGTAGTAGTAGTGTTAATTTTTGGAAAAACTCTTGTACTGGTTTTCATAGTGACTTCACCAATTTACTTTCCCCCATCAAAGCACCATGGGTTCCCTTTTCTTTACATTTTTGCCAGTAATAGCCATTCTGACGGGTGTAAGGATATATCATTGAGATTTTAATTTGCGTCTCCCTGATGATTAGTAATGTTGAGCATCTTTTGTCAGCTGTCTAGATGCCTTGTTTAGAAAAATGTCTATTCAGATTCTCTGCCATTTTAAAATCAGGTTTGGGGTTTTTTTTATGTTGTGGGAGATTTTTGTATTTGAATATTGACCCTTATCAGATATATGTGGAAATTCTTCTTCTATATAGTAGCCTGACTTTTCATTCTATTGATAGTTTCCATTGCTGTGCAAAGCTTTTTAATTCAATGTAGTTCCATTTGTTTACTTTTTCTTGTTTCTCTTGCCTGGGGAAACATATGCCAAAAATATGGCTAACACCAGTGTTAAAGAGTGTACCACTTACGTTTCCTTCTAGGAGTTTTACAGTTTCAGGTCTTATATTTAAGTCTTTGAGTTTGTTTTTGTATGTGGTGTGAGAATGTAGTCCAGTATAATTCTTTTACATGTAACTGTTTAGTTTTCCCAACAATGTTTACTGAAAAGGATGCTTTTTTCCCATTGTACATTTTTGCCTTCATTGTCTTAGATTCATTGACCACATACATATGGATTTATTTTTGGGCTTTCTATTGTGTTTCATTGAATTGTGTGTCTGTTTTTGTGCTCTGATTTCAAACTATATTACCAAATCTTGGAATCTGGGTACATGATAACCACCAGTTCTGTTCTTTTTTCTCAAGATTGTTTTGGCTATTTGTGATCTTTTGTGTTGCTATAGAAATTTTAGGATTATTTGTCCTAGTTCTGTGAAAAATGTCTGCAGTATTTTTATATGGATAGATTTCTCTGAATAGTATGGTCATTTTAACAGTGTTAATTCTTCTGATTCGTGAACATGAACAATTTTCCACTTGATTATGTTATTTTTAATTCTTTTATCATTTTCTTATGAGTATCAAGGTACAGGTCTTGTACCTCCTTGAGATTTATTCCTAAGTACTTTATTCTTTTTTGATGCAATTGTGACTGGAATTGTTTTCTTAATTTCTCTCTTTTTTTAACTTTCTATTTTGCATTGGGGTATAATTAACAATTAACAATGTGGTTATAGTTTCAAATGAACAGTGAAGGGAATCGCCTTAATTTCTCTAATAGTCTGTTGTTAGTGTATGAGACACATCAGATTTCTATATGTTTATTTTGTATCCTTCAACATTACTGAGTTCACTTTAATATTTTTTTGATAGCATATTTAGGATTTTCTAAATATCATGTCATGTGGAAACAGTGACAGTTTTTTCTTCTTTTCCAATTTGGATTCCTTTTATGCTTTGTCTTGTCTGATTGCTGTGGCTAGAAAAATACTGAATAAAAGTGGTGGGCATCCTTGTCTTATTCTTGATGTTAGAGGAAATGTTTTCAGTTTTTTCTCATAGAGTATGTTCTTAGCTTTGGGTTTGTCATATAGGACATTTATTATGTTGAGGTATATTCCCTCTGTATCTACTTTGTTTAGAGTTTTTCTCATAAATGGATTTTGAACTTAGTCAAAAGTTTTTCTTCATCTATTGAGATGATAGTATAATATTTATTCTTTGTTGTTAATGTACTTTATCATGTTGATTGACTTTTGGATGTCAGGTTATCCTTGCAACAATGGTTAGTATTCCACTTGATTATGGTGTATGATTCTTTTAAAAAAAAATTATCTGTGGCTGCACTGGGTCTTCATTTCTGCGTGCAGGCTTTCTCTGGTTGCAGTGAGCAGTGTCTGCTCTCTAGTTGTGGTGCACAGGCTTCTCATTGCAGTGGCTTCTCTTGTGGCATGCAGACTCTAAAGCCTGGGTTCAGTCGTTGTGGTGCATGGGCTTAGTAGCTGCACACATATGGGATCTTCCCGGAGTAGGGATCAGACCCATGTCACCTCCACTGGCAGGCAGACTGTCAGCTACTGGGCCACCAGGGGAGTCCTATAATCCTTTTAGTGTATTGTTGAATTTGGTTTGCTAATATTTTGTTGAAGATTTTTGTATCTATATTTATCAGTCATGTTGATCTGTAACTTTCCTTTTTGGTAGTATCTTTGTCTAGTTTTAATATCAGGGTTTTGCTGGCCTCATATAATGAGTTCAGAGTGTTCCTTTCTCTTTAAATTTTTGAATAGTTTGGGAAGGCTAAGTGTTAATTATTTCTTAAATGTTTGGTAAAACCTATGAAGTGATTTGATTGTGGACTTTCGTTCATTGGGAGTTTTTTGATTACTGATTCAATTTCATTTCTGGTAATCATGCTGTTTGTATTTTCTATTTATTCCTGATTTAGTCTTGGGAAATTGTCTATTTCTAGGAATTTGTCCATTTTTTCCTAAGTTGTCCATTTTATTGTGTATAATTGTGCTAATCTCTTATGTATTTCTGTGGTGTGTGTTGTAACTTCTTTAATTTTTTTATAACTTCTCTTTCATTTTCTATTTGGGCCCCCTCTTTCTTTTTTAGTTTGGGTAAAGTTTTATCAATTTTATTTAACTTTTCAAAACCAACTGTTAGCTTTATAGATCTTCAAAAAATTTTTTTAAATCTTTATTTCATTTATTTCTGCTCCAACCTCTTTTTCTTTCCTTCTACTAATTTTTGGACTTTGTTCTTTTTCTAGTTCCTTTAGGTGTAAGGTGAGATTGTTTATTTGAGATTTTTTGTTTCCTGAGGTAGGGTGCTAGACCATGCCTTGTGTAGTGGCTGCTGGCCTTCTGGTGGACAGGGCTGGGTATCCAGGCTGGGGTTCAGGGATGTCTTGGATTAGTGTCAATTGGCTGGTGAGTGGATAAGCCAATTAGACTATTAGACTAACTACTAATAGTCTAGAGGGAAGACTCCAAAATGGTTCTGCCAGCACTTTGTCCTCATGGTGGAATGAGCTCACAAAAATGGCTGCCACCACCTCTGTGTCCTCAGAGGAAGTCTCAGCTGCGTCCTGCTTCTCTAGGAGGCTCTCCAAGATCAGCAACCAGGTCCAACCTTGGTTTCTTTTAATTTTTAAAAAAATATTTATTTATTTAATTTTTGACTGCATTGGATCTTAGTTGCAACTTGCAGGATCTTTGTTGTAGTGCTTGGGCTCTGTAGTTGTGGCATGCAGGCTTGGTTGCCCCGTGGCATATGGGGTCTTAGTTCTCTGACCAGTGGTTGAACCTGTGTCCCCTGCATTGGAAGGCAGGTTCTTAACTACTGAACCACCAAGGAAGCCCCATGGCTTCTTTTAAATTACTGCCCCTGTACTGGAGACTAAGAGCATGTGAGATTTGCATGCTCCTTGTAAGAGTAGGCTCTGTATTTCCTACATAGATTCAGCCCTCTTGCTCTCTAATATGCAAGCCCTATTGTCCTTCACAGCCAGATATTCTTGGGATTTGTCTTCTCAGTATAGCACCCATGGGGTAGGGAGCCTGATGTGGAACTCAGACCCCTCATTCCTTGGGGGAGAACCACTGCAATTGTGATTATGCTGCCATTTGTGGGTCATCTACTCAGGAGTGTGGTTCTTCACTATACTGAGTCTTTGCCCTTCATGTTCATCTCATTATAGTAATTAACTTCATTATATCTTTGTTGGTGGAAAATCTTCTCTGCTGGTCTTCATGTCATTCTCATCAATAGTTGCTCTGTAAATAGTTCTAATTGATGTGCCTCTGGGAGGAGGTTAGGTTCACAGTGTTCCTACTCCATCATCTTGAGTGCACCTCTCAAAATTTCTTTTCTTTAAAATGATTTAAGTACTCATCAAGAAAGCATAGTCATCAGATATCATAAAACATTATGATATATTTAAAAATATTTCTTTTTCAGGAAGAAGTCTGTAGGGAAAGAGCTTAAAGTAAAAGAAAATGTGCCTCAAGTCCAGGTAACACAGAATCTCTCCCTGTGCATCTAAATTTGATTAATAATGCTCTGATAACTGTTTATATAGACAACATATGTATGTGAATACAGGTGTATGTGCGTTTGTGTATGTGCATGTGTACTAAATTTCTTCTTACAATGCTTCTTTACTGTTGGTTGACTTTTTTCAGCAAGTTTTAGAAAATCAAATGGTGAATTCAGATATGTTTACTGTCAAGGTTATGAAAATTACTGTTATTCACTCAATTATAGGCAATGTCATAGAGGAAAGAACACATATTGTGAGTCAGAACAGACTTACTAGTTAAGTGACATTGGACAAGTCCCTTTAACCTACTTGAACTTTGTCTTTCATCACTAAAATGGGTAAAATAATAGCTGTCCCATCTATCTCAGAAATGTGTGAGATGCAAGAGGTGAATAGAAAAATATTTTGGAGATTGTTAATATAGCTCACTCTTTTTCATGTGATCCATGTGTATTCTGAAAAGAATACAAGTAACCCTTTATTTTATCTTCTCTTTGATAAACTATCTTTTGCTGAAAGTTAAAACTTCTTAACCATCAGAGCATCATGTCACCCATTTGGTCACTCTCTTCCAGTGAGTGACTGGACTTAAGTGTCCCACAAGTATATACCTGCATGTTTCAAGAATCAAATAACATAAATTTGGGAAGAAAATGAGAGTACTTCTTGAGATACTGAATATAAAAGGAACAACTTTATGGTATTAGTTTTCTATTCCTGCATAACAAGTTACCTCACATTTTGCAGCTTAAAATAATTAAATTGTTTCCATGGTTTGAATGGCTTAGAAGTCTGACCGTAGCTTAGCTGTATCCTGTGCTCAAGGACTCACCAAACTGCAATCATGGTGTTGGCTAGGCTTTTTTTTTTTTTTTTCTGGTCACTTGGGGGTCCTCTTCCAAGCTCAAGTGGAAGTGGCAAACTTAAGTTCTTTGTAGTTGTTGGACTGGGGCACTTAGCCAGTGGCCTGCTCCACAAACAGTTTACATTATAGCATCTTACATCTTCTTAAAGCCCAGCTGAGTCTCTTTCTCTCTTTCTTCTTTTTTGCTAAGACAGTCTTATGTAATATAACATGAATAACATGATCGTGAATGATACCTTTTCACGGTAGCTATATAATTGATCCTTGAACAACATGGGGGTTAGGGATACCACCCACTCCCTCACAGTTGAAAATTTGCATACTGCTATCTCTGCCTCAGAAACAAAAGAATTGATAAATGACTCACCAAAAGGCACAAAGGTAAAATGACTTGGATAGAATCAGGACTCAAATCCTAGTTCTTTTGATTCCACATATTGTGATCTCTAACCAGACATAAACTTCCCCCACATTTAGTTAAACATCTGTAAAGTGAAAATATGGGTACTATATTCATTGAAAAATATCCTTGTATAAGTGGACTCATGTGGTTCAAACCCATCTTGTTGAAAGGTCAACTGTATAGTGCAGTCTAATAAAGAAAGTGGCATCTCATCACTGTGCAATATTCTGTTGGCTAAAAGCAAGTCTTTGGTGGTATCCACACTCAAAAGGAGTGGATGATACAGAGCATAACCTTAGGGATGGAGATCCTGGAGGCCATTTTAGAAATCTGTCTGGTGATTTTATATAGAACAGCATTTTGTGTATTTAAAAAATTATAATTCCATCATGTTATCAAGTCTTTAAACTGGCATTTTAGTTCATTTGGGCCATGTCTTAATCCCTTCAGACTGCTTTAACAAAATATCAGGGATTGCAGTGAACATAGAGGTGCATATATTACTGAATTAGTGGCTTTTGGGGGGAGGTCGTAAGTACCTAGAAGTGAAATTACTGGATCATATGGCCATTCTATTTTTAATTTTTTGAGGAATCTCGATTCTACTTTCCACAATGGCTGTACCAATTTACATTCCCACCAACAGTGTATTTGGATTCACTTTTCCTCATATCCTTCCCCTTGTTATTTCTTTTCTTTTTGATACTCATGATTCTGACCAGGAAAAGGGAGTATCTCACTGTGGTTTTGGTTTATATTTCCCAGATTATTAGTGATATTGAGTATCTTTTTATGTATTGGTTGTCTGTCTCCTTTGGAAGAATGTCTGTTTAGGTACTCTGCTCAGTTTTTTTTTTTTTAATTCATTTATTTTTTAACTGAAGGATAATTGCTTTACAGAATTTTGTTGTTTTCTGTCAAACCTCAACATGAATCAGTCATAAATACACATATATCACCTCCCTATTGAACCTCCCTCCCGTCTCCCTCCCCATCCCGCCCCTCTAGGTTTGATCTTTTGATGTTGACTAGTATAAGTTCTTTGTATATTTTGGATATTTATCCCTTATTGGATATATCATTTGCTGATATCATCTCCCATTTACTAGATAACTGTATTGTTTTGCTGATACTTAGACATGAAAACTTTTTAGTTTGATGTAGTTCCATTTATTTTTACTTTTGTTTCCTTTTGTTGAGGAGTCATTTACAAAAAATATGGCTAAGACCTATTTCGGAGAGCTAACTGCCTGTGTTTTCTTCAAAATGTTTCATGGTTTCAGGTCTTATATTTAAGCCTTTAACCCATTTGAGATTATTTTTGTATATGATGTAAAAGGTAGTCCAGTTCCACTGTATTCCAGTATTCCAAATACCAATTACTGAATAGGCTCTTTTTTCCTCATTGTGTATTCTTGCTTCTTTTGTCATAGTTTAATTGAGCACATGTAAGCCCATGTTTAGGAGGGAGTCTGAGTTTTCTGTAGCACTTTGGGACCACTGGATGTCAGCCCTATTGCTTTTCAAAGCCAGGCACTTCAGGGCTTCCTCTCTCTGGTGTAGATCCAGGAGCCAGGGTTCCTGACATGGGCACCAGCCCTTTGCTGCCCTGTCAAGAGTGCCTGTCTGGTGAGATCCCTCTCTGTTGTGTGCCATCATGCTGGGGGTAAGGTTTTTAGTGAGAGTGTTTCTTTTCCTCTACTACCTGTCTTGATGTAGTCCTTTCTATTCTTTGTTGTGGAGCATGCTTGACTAGTTCCAAGGTTCTTTTCACAGGGAGTTAATCTCTTTGCAGGTGTATATTTGTTGATCCATGGGAGGAGGTTCTTGCTATGCCCCATCTTCAATCACCTTTCCTGTAGATTTTCTTTTAAGAGTAAGTCTCATTTTCCTGTTTCTTCAAATTCGAATTACTCTTAATTGTACCTTGGACATTGGGAATGTCATGTTGCTGAAGCTCTGGATTCTGCTATATTCTTAGGGAAGTGACAGTGAAAGTTGCTGTCCAACTCTTTGTGACCTCATGGACTAAACAGTCTATGGAATTCTCCAGGCCAGAATACTGGAGTGGGTATCCATTCCCTCCTCCAGGGGATCTTCCCATCCCAGGGCCAGGGATTTGAGCCCAGGTCTCCCACATTGCAGGTGGATTCTTTTATCAGCTGAGCCACCAAGGAAGCCCAAGAATACTGCAGTGGGTAGCCTAGCCCTTCTCCAGGAGATCTTCCCAACCCAGGAATTGAACCAGGGTCTGCTGCATTGCAGGCAGATTGTTCACTAGCTGAGCTGTAAGTTATGTCATTGTGCCTAAGAAGTATGTAGTAAATGTTTGTGCTCAAGTCATCATCTTGGCTATCTATGGGTTTTAGAAAGATAATAATTATGACAATAAATTAGTTAAACAAGAACAAATGAATACTTTTCTCCCCCACCCCATATTACATCCTAGAAAGTAGCACATGCTCTGGAAATTGAGAACAAAGTTCTTCGGGAACAACTGAAACAAGCTTTACAGGTAAAAGATGTCATGTTCCTTCGTATTGTGAAAAATTGAAGAAAATATCCTTAAACAACTTTTTAAATGAATAATTTTTAATTTGTAAACCAAGAATCTGTATATTGTATTGTTTTGCCAGCTTATAGTATTTTCATTTAATGTAGTAGAAATATATTGATAAAATTTGATGTTTATTTTCTCCAAAATAGTAAGCTAGAGAGAGAACTGATATACACACTTAAAGCAATTTATTTCTAGATATAGGTGGAGTCTTTTTGAGCTTAGCAGAATTATAAGATATATTGAGATAAGAAATTGGTTATTTTACAGAAGAACAATTATGATTTGCTCATCAAAAATTAATATAAGACATAAAAATATATTACTAAAGCAGTGTGGTTCTAAATTTGGTACTGAATGAAAAGTCCAGAAACAGATTCAAATGAATATGATAATTTTGTATTTTGTTGTTTTGCTTATTAAAATTTTTTATAGACAGATAAAAGTCACAAAAGTAAACTACTATGAAAAACTTGTGATTTCTAGTTGATTTAATATACTGAAACAAATTACAAATTGATTTAAGACTAGGCATAATAAGTGAACTATGTATAAATTGGAAGAAGCACTGAGTAACAATTACATGTCTTGGCTAAAGCAGGGCTTTCTAAGCATTATACCAAAAAGAATATGTGTATATATTTGGCTATAAATATATAAAATAAAACTTTTTATGGTTAAAATTTTGTAAGATATAAAGATAAATGGAAGATCTTTATAAAATGTTCCATATCAAGGTCTTTTATGTATCTACAGAAAATATGGATAGTCTTCCTCCTCAATAGACAAAGGACATAGGCAAGTCAATTGAGAAACACGCATTGCCAATAAACATACAAATATATTCAGCTGTACAAATTACCAAGTAAATGCAATTAAAAAATAACAGCGAGAGGGTGGTTCAGTGGTTAAGCCTCCATGCTTCCAGTGCAGGGGGCCTGGGTTCAATCCCTGGTTAGGGAACTAGATCCTGCAGGCTGCAACTAAGAGCCCACATGCTTCAAAGATCCTGCACAGGGCAATGAAGATCCTGTGTGCTGCAACTAAGACTCAGTAATAAAAAACATTAAAATAGCAGCAGTACAGGTATATTTTACCTACTATTTTTTTTAAAAAAATTGAAGGAACAGAAATATTTAATATTTGTGGACTTATGTTGAGATGAGCAGGTCTTTCATATACTTCTATTGTCAGTATGGATTGATACTTCTCTGGAAGAAAATATATAGCAAAAGTCTTGGAAAAACAGAGTCTTTACAGTGAACCATTCCACTTCTAAGAATTTATTGTAAATAATTAAAAGGTGTACAAAGTTTGTACAAGTATGTAGAATAGGAAATTCTTAATAGCAAAAGTTTTTAAATTACCAGTATGTCCACTGATAAGCAATTTGCTAAATTAGTTAAGATATATTATTAAAATTTACTTGTTACCTAGGGCTTCCCTGGTAGCTCAGCTGGTAGAGAATTTGCCTGCACTGTGGGAGACCAGGGTTCAATCCCTGGGTTGGGAAGATCCCCTGGAGATGGGAAAGGCTACCCACTCCAGTATTCCGGCCTGGAGAATTCCATGGACTGTATAGTCCATGGGGTCACAGAGTCAAACAGGACTGAGCAACTTTCTTTCTGTTAGCTGTTCTAATTTGGATGCATATTTATCATCATGGGAATCTCTCTCTTTAGCCGCTAAGTCACGTCTGATTCTTGCAACCCCGTGGACTATAGCCTGCCAGGCTCCTCTGTCCATGGGATTCTCCAGGCAAGAAAACTGGAGTGGGTTGCCATTGCCTTCTCCAATGAGAACATACTGTGACAGTATTTAATGAAAAGAGCATATATGCATGTGTGTATAGTATGATCCAATCTGGATAAAAATTAAAAATTCATATATACATATGCACTAGCATATTTAGAAATAATTAAAAAGTATATATGTCAACAGTACATTTTCTGTTTGTGGGGAGATTGTGAACTTTTTTTATTGATTTATATATTCTTTTATACAAGTAACTTAATTTTATGAAACTAAAATTTATTAAAAGTGACTTTTAAAGAAAGATTTAATTCTAGAAGAAATAAATTATTTTTCATGTTTACTATTTGATATTATAGATCTTAATTATCTTGGGTACATTCTATCACCTATAATATATGCATTTTATTAACTTTTATTGTGCCTGTATTATAACTAGAACCTTAAACAGTGGGCAGGAAAACCTCTTGGGTATAAAAATAGCTGTTTAAGTAGAAGAGATTCCTTCATAGTTTTTAATTTTAATTATGGATCTGTTAAACTATGTATTATACCAGTGGTTTAATTTAGCTTTCTTTTACTCTGTAAAAATAAAATTGAGAATTAGTGTGGACATGAATATATGAAGATTCCTGAAAATTATAATATTGTCAGGAAAATGTCACAGAAATGATACTTGACAGTTACTCTTTTAAAAACAGGAAGCTGAAAGAGCTAAGCAGCAACTTGCCTATTTCCTAAATCAAGAAAAGGAATTACTTAAAAGTGAGGCAAAGACCAAGACAACCACAGAAATGGGTACTGGTAAATTAAAAGTTAAAGGTGAAGATTCAAAATATATACCATTGGAAAATGAAACAAGAAAAGCAGTAGTGGGAGATCCAGGTGGACAAAAAACAAATGATAAAATTACACATCCACAGGTAAGGAAATAACCAAAATAGAATCAGTAATATGTGCAGTAAGAAATGTATCCTTTTAATATATTAACTTCATTTGTATATTATTTTTTAAATTTTTCTATGCTTTCTTTTGTTTTTACAATTCTAATTGTTCCTTTTGGATGTATCAGTTCATTAACATCTTGAATTCAAATCTAAGTTAAATGTGTATTGATTTTTGTGGGTTTTTGGTAATCCAAATATTTGCATTTTTCTTCAGGATAGTTGATACGGTAGACTTGTCAGATATAAAATTATGTTTTATATTTAAAAATTTTTATTGAGATATAATTGACATATTATTTTCAGGTATTGAACATTAATGAGTTAGTATTTTGTATATACTGTGACTAAATCACCACAATAAGTCTAGTTAATAACATCGTACATAATTACAGAATTTTTTTCTTGTGACAAGAACTTTTAAGATTTGCTGTAGTAGCAACTTTCAACTATGCAATGCAGTATTATTAACTGTGGTCACTGTGCTGTACTTTACACCATTTGGAATTGTTTAAAGTAGAAGTTTGTACCTTTTGACTCCTGTCACCCATTTTCAGTTCAGTTCAGTCGCTCAGTCGTGTCCGCCTCTTTGCGACCACATGAATCGCAGCACACCAGGCCTCCCTGTCCATCACCAACTGCTGGAGTTTACTCAAACTCATGTCCATTGAGTCAGTGATGCCATCCAGCCATCTCATCCTCTGTCGTCCCCTTCTCCTCCTGCCCCCAATCCCTCCCAGCATCAGGGTCTTTTCCAGTGAGTCAACTCTTCGCATGAGGTGGCCAAAGTATTGGAGTTTCAGCTTTCAACATCAGTCCTTCCAATGAACACCCAGGACTGATCTCCTTTAGGATGGACTGGTTGGATCTCCTTGCAGTCCAAGGGACTCTCAACAGTCTTCTTGAACACCACAGTTCAAAAGCATCAATTCTTTAGCACTCAGCTTTCTTCACAGTCCAACTCTCATATCCATACATGACCACTGGAAAAACCATAGCCTTGACCAGACGGACCTTTGTTGGCAAAGTAATGTCTGCTTTTTAATATGCTATCTAGGTTGGTCATAACTTTCCTTCCAAGGAGTAAGTGTCTTTTAATTTCGTGGCTGCAATCACCATCTGCAGTGATTTTGGAACCCCAAAAAATAAAGTCAGCCACTGCTTCCACTGTCTCCCCATCTATTTCCCATGAGGTGATGGGACCAGATGCCATGATCTTAGTTTTCTGAATGTTAAGCTTTAAGCCAACTTTTTCACCCATTTTGGCCACCCCCAAATCCATGCCTCTGGCAACTACCAATCTGTTCTCTGTATCTATGAGCTTAGTTTTCATTTTGTTTTAGATTCCACATATAAGTGAGATTGTATGGTATTTGTCTTTTCCTGTCTGACTTATTTGACTTAGCACAGTGCTCTCAAGATCATCCTTGTTGTCACAAATGGCAAAGTTTCATTATTTTTCATGTCTGAATAATATTCTACTGTATGTATATGTGTGTGTGTGTGTTGCTCAGTCATGTCTGACTCTTTCCAACCTCATGGACTGTAGCCTGCCAGGCTCCTCTGTCTATGGAGTTTTCCCGGCAAGAATACTGGAGTGAGTTGCCATTCCCTCTTGAGAGGATCTTTCCAACCCAGGAGTTGAACCCAGGTCTCCCACATTGCAGGCAGATTCTTTACTGTCTGAGACACCAGGGACTTTATGTACATATATGATGTTTTCTTTATCCATTCACCCATCAATGGATGTACAGACTGTTTCCACATCTTCACTAATGTAAATAAATAATGCTGAAGAGATCATAGGGTACATATTTCTTCTCTAGTTAGTGTTATCATTTATTTTGGAAAAATATCTAGAAGTGGGTGTTGCCTGGATCATCTGGTAGGTCTAGTTTTAGATTTTTTGAGGAATCGCCATACTCTTCCATAATGGCTTCACCAATTTACATTCTCATCAACAGTGTGCAAAGGTTCCCTTTTATCTACATTCTGGCTAATACTTGTTATTTCTTGTTTTTTAGTTAATAACAGTTCTGACAGGTGTGCAGTAATATCTTATTTTGGTTTTGATTTATATTTCTCTGATGATTAGTGACGTTGAGCATTTTTTCATGTATCTGTTGGCCACCTGTATGTTTTCTTTCATAGAATGTCTATTCAGATCATCTGTTCATTTTTTACTCAGGTTGATTCAGTTTTTTTGTTTGTGTTGCAGTTGAGTTGTATGAGTTCTTTATGTATTTTTGGATATTAACCCTTTATTAGATAAGTGATTTTTAGATGTTTTCTCCCATTTAGTAGGGTGCCATTTCATTATATTGATGGTTTCCTTTGATGTGCAGAAGCTTTTTAGTTTAATGTAATTATTTTTGCTGTTGATGTCAAACACTCAAATTCAATAAGACCTATGTTTAGCTTATTGTTTATGTTTCTTTTAGAAGTTTTATAGTTTCATGTCTTACATTGAAGTGTTTAATTCATTTGAAGTTAATTTTTGTATATTGTGTAAGAAAATGGTCTAGTTTCATTCTTTGCATGTGATTTTCCAGTTTCCCAACACCATTTATTGGAGAGATTGTCTTTGTTGTATATTCGAGGCTCCTTCATCATAAATTGATTGACTGTGTGTATGTATGTTTACTTCTGGGTTCTCTACTCGGTTCTGTTAATCCACGTTTGTTTTCCTCCCCACATCTCAGACTGATTTGATTGCCATAGACTATGACAACTATAATATGAAACTGGGCACATGATGCCTCCAGCTTTGTTATTCTTTTTCAAAATTCCTCTGACTATTCAGGGTCTTTTGTGGTCCCATACAAATTTGAGAATTATTTCTTCTATTTCTGTGAAAAATGTCATTGGAATTTTGATAGATTGCTTGGATTCTATAGATTGTTTTGTATAGTATGGACATTTTAACAGTGTTAATTCTTCCAATCCATGAGCATAGACTATCTTCCCACTTATTTATGTCTTCTTCCATCAGTATCATATAGTTTTTGGTGTATAAGTCTTTCACTTCCTTGGTTAAATTTATTCCTAGGTATTTTATTCTTTTTTATGCAATTGCAAATGGGATTGTTTTCTTGACTTCTCTTTTAGATAGTTCATTTTTACTCTGTAAAAATACAATAGATTGCTATTCATCAGTTGTATATCCTGCAACTTTATTTACTCTAACAGTTTTGGGGTAGTCTTTAGGGTTTTCTCTATCATGCCATCTGAATATGGTGACAGATTTATTTCCTCTTTTCCAAATGGAGACACCTTTTGTTTGTTTTTTGCCAAATTGCTCTGTCTAGGAATTCCATTAATATGTTGGATAAAAGCAGCAAGAATGGGCATCCTTTTCTTATTCCTGATCTTAGAGAAATTGCTTTCAGCTTTTCACTTTTGAGTGGGATGTTATCTATGGGTTTATCATACATGGCCAGTTTTATGTTGAGTATTTTCTTTCCCTCTGTACCCACTTAGTTGAGAGCTTTCATCATAAATGTTGAATTTTGTGAAATGCTTTCAGTTTTTCTTTTTACAGTTACTGAGATGATCTTCCAAACTATTCATTTTGTTAATGTGGTATACCTCATTGACTAATTTCTAGATATTGAATCATTTCTGCACCCCTGGTAGAAATTCCTCTTGCTCATGTTGTATGATCCTTTTAATAGATTGTTAAAATCAGTTTGCTAAATTTTGTTACTTTTGCATCTTTGTTATCAGGGATATTTGTAATTTTCTTTTATTGTAGTGTCTTTGGTTTTAGTATCTGAATAATGCTGGTATTGTAAAATGAGTTTGGAAATATTGCCTTCTGTTCTATTGTTTGAGAGTTTCAGAAGAATTGGTATTAATTCTTCTGTGAATATTTGGTGGAACTCAGCGGGAAGTGTCCTGGTCCTGTACTTTTGTTCATAAGGAGTTTTAAAATTACAGATTCAATATCCTTAATAGTAGTAATGAGTGTGTTCAATTTTTGTTTCCTCATGATTCAGTCTTAGAAGATTGTATGTTGTAGTTATTAATTTATTCTTAATTGTTAATACTATTGCTGTATAATTGTCATACTAGTCACTTCTGATCCTTGTATCTCTGTGATATCAGATGTCATATTTCTTCTTTTATTTATTTGAGCCTTCTATCTTTTTTCTTTGTGAGTCTGGCTAATTGTCAGTTTTGTTTATCTTTTCAAAGAGCCACTTCTTGGTTTTATTGATTTTTTTTGTTTGTTTGTTTGACATCTTGTTAGCCTCCATTTCACTTATTTCTGTTGTAATTCTTTATGATTTCCTTTCTTCTACTTAACTTGGACTTTGTTCTTCTTTTTCTAGTTCCTTGGAGTATAAATTTGTTACTGGGTTTGAGACTTTTCTTATTTGTAAAGTAGGCATTTATTACTATGAACTTTCCTTGTGAAATAGCTTTCACTGCATCCCATAAATTTCAGAATGTGGTATATCCATTTTCTTTTGTCTCAAGGTACTATTTTAATTTTGGTTTTGATTTCTTTCTTGATCCATTGGTTGTTCAGTAGCATGTTGTATAATCTCCACATATTTGTAAATTTTCCAGTTTTCTTCTTGTAATTGATTTCTACTTTCATAATATTGTGGTCAGAAAAGATAGTTAATATGATTTTAATCTAATCCTAAATCTGTTAAAACTTGTTTTGTGGCCTAACATATAATCTATTCTGGAGAATGTTCCATGTGCACTTGAGAAGAATCTGTATCCTGTTTGTTTTGGATGGAATGTTCTATCTATTTATATATATTTGTCAAGTTAATATGATCAAATATGTCATTTAAATATGATACTCTCTTATGGTTTTTGTTTGATTTTGTTATTGTTTTTGGCCACACCACACGGTTAGTGGGATCTTAGTTCCCTAGCCAAGGATTGAAACTACACTCTTGGCAGTGAAAGCATGGAGTCCTAACCACTAGACCACAAGGAAATTACTGACAACGCTTTCT